GGGAGAAATCAAGTATGAACAGGACTTTGATTTCATTCTTGGACTTGTATTCTAATTATCAGGGAGACATTTCCATAAGGTAGGGGCGAGTGGGGTAAATTGAGCCACCCTTATTTCTAGGAAACCATACACAAAATTAGTAATTTGACCTAATATTTAGGAAGAGGTCATCATTTCATTAAGTGTGTAGGAATAAACCACATGGAAAAATTGATAAGCAAGTTATGTCCCAAAAAATAATGAATTTATTGTGTTAGAGGTTTCATGTTAATTTTAAGATTGTTCTATACATCAGTTGGGGTCTCTATAAGCTTCAATATGAGGTCCTAAACCTAGACTAAATGACCATAAGTATGTGGACACCTGCTCGTCGAACATCTAATTCCAAAATCATGGGCATTAATATGGAGTTGGTCCCCATTTTGCTGCTATAACAGCCTCCACTCTTCTGGGAAGGCTTTCCACTAGATGTTGGAACATTGCTTGCTTCCATTTAGCCATAAGAGCATTAGTGAGGTGCGGCAGTGATGTTGGGCAATTAGGCCTGGCTCGCAGTCGGCGTTCCAATTCTTCCCAAAGGTGTTCGATGGGGTTGTGCAGGCTAGTCAAGTTTTTCCACACCGATCTCGACAAACCATTTCTGTATGGACCTCACTTTGTGCACAGGGGCATTGTCATGCTGAAACAGGAAAGGGCCTTCTTCAAACTTGCCACAAAGTTGAAAGCACAGAATCATCTAGAATACCATTGTATACTGTAGCGTTAAGATTTCCCTTCACTGGAACTAAGGCGCATAGCTCGAACCATGAAAAACCATTATTCCTCCTACACCAAACTTTACAGTTGGCATTATGCATTGGGGCAGGTTACGTTCTCCTGGCATCCGCCAAACCCAGATTCATCCGTCGGACCACTCCAGAGTCCAATGGCAGCGAGCTTTACACCACTCCAGCCGACGTGTCGCATTGCAGAAGCTCCCGACAAACAGTTATTGTGCTGACGTTGCTTCCAGAGGCAGTTTGGAACTCCGTAGTGAGTGTTGCAACCAAGGACAGACAATTTTTACGAGCTACGCGCTTCAGCACTCGGCGGTCCCGTTCTGTGAGCTTGTGTGGCCTACCACTTTGCAGCTGAGCTGTGTGCTCTATTCTATACAAATTTCAGCAACAGATGTGGCTGAAATAGCCGAATCCACTAATTTGAATGGGTGTCCACATACTTCTGTATACATAGTGTAATGTCTTCCATCCTAGCCACATTTCCTCATCTGCTTTCATGCGTCTCCCCTATCAAGATGTTGTAGTACTTCCCTTATGAACTATGCTTCTCCGCACGCTAAGTATACCATAGGTCAATATAGTCTACCAATCTAAGAGGCCATTCTAATTGATGAACATTTAAGGAGATGCAGTGCAGCGACGTTTCAATTTACAATATATCCTTGTCTTACTTTTCGTTGTGGCAGGCAAAGTGACATTCTTGATCTGCAGCTCCAATTTTACCGTAAATATCAGTATCACAGTAGCCAGTAAGCTTGCAAACTAATCAACAATGCAACCAACCTTTCCTCTAAAGCGTATTAGCTATGTCACGCCCTGGCTCTGGGGACTCTTATATGTTGAGCCAGGGTGTGTAGGTTTCATTGTTTAGTTTTCTAGGTTTGTGTTCTAGTTCGTGTATATCTATGTTGGCCAGGGGGGTTCCCAATCAGAGGCAGCTGTAGCTTGTTGTCTCTGATTGGGGTCCATACTTAGGCAGCCTGTTTGGCACTGTTATTTTGTGGGATCTTGATCCGTAAGGTTTGTGTTATGACCTAGGACTTCACGTATCGTTCATTTGTTGTTTTGTCGAGTTAAGTACGTTCAATAAAGTATGTACGTCAGGCTGCGCCTTGGTCCGTGTCTTCTAATAACGATCGTGACAAGCTAGCTACACTCTTGAATAATGCCAAACCATATTACACTCTTGAATATGTGCAGACAAGTAACAGGTATATTTTCTCCTTTGTACACACATTAAATGTAGCTTGCAAGACAATAACACAGCTAGATAGCTATGCTAGCTAGTAACAGCACATCAAACATGAACGTTTAGCTACCCCTCTCATACGAATATAAAAGTACAGTTCAGTGTATTAAAGTTACCTTAGAACAAACTAGGCTTCATTTTATCAATATCATTGAAGTCATTATATCAAGTAAACACTCAATTGCGACTGAAAACATTGATACCCTGGTGAGTGGTTTCCACTAACTTCTATACCCACAAAGTCAGATTCCACAGCTACAAAGTCAAAATTGGGAAACCATTTTTTGGGGGGGGTTAGGCATAAGTAATTAGTATAGTAATTAATGTATTGTTTTTTGTGTGTGTGTGGATTGTGGTATACTGTAGTATTTACTGTAGTGTTTTTGCGGACATTAGTAAACCGTAATATTTAATGTAGTGTTTTTGTGGACCTTACTGTAGTATTTACTATTATGTTTTTGTTTTATTATCTTTGACATTTTAAAGAGGAGGGAGGGGTTCGGTAGGGGATACAAACCCGGTTTGGGGTAAGGTTTAGGGGGTAGGATTGGGAATAGGATAAAAAACAGGTTTAGGGTAGCGGTTTGGGTATGGTTGGGGGAGGGAGGGATTTAATATCTTTATTAGAAATAAAAAATAGGGGATGCTCTTTAGGATGCTGGGAGGGTGTGGTGCTTTGTGATTGTGAGTAGTTGGTTGAGTGGTTGTGGATGTTGTTGATGTTGATTGTGTTTCCATTGTTCAACAGTCTCCCGAGTGGCGCAGTGGTCTAAGGCACTGCATCGCAGTGCTAGCTGTGCCCCTAGAGATCCTGGTTCGAATCCAGGCTCTGTCGTAGCCGGCCGCGACCGGGAGACCCATGGGGCGGCGCACAATTGGCCCAGCGTCGTCCAGGGTAGGGGAGGGAATGGCCGGCAGGGGATGTAGCTCAGGGTTGTGGGTTCGATAAAATAATGTATGCGCTAACTGTAAGTCGCTCTGGATAAGAGCGTCTGCTAAAATGACTAAAAATGTAAATGTAAAAAACAGGATTACACACAGGTCTTCTCCAGAGCAGCAATACAGCGGGCACACTGCGGTTTGGATCTCAGGTCAGTATTCGGGTAAGTATTGGGTATAGGTATTCCTGTTAAAGGCTATTCTGGGTAAGTATGCATGTTTTAATATATTTTTTTATATATATTTATAATAACAGGTCATTGCAGGTAGGTATGCATGTTTTAAACAATTATGTTTGAGAATCCACTCTGGGTCGGTATGCATGTATTAAAAGTTCACTCCAGATAATTACACTCTTAGAAAAAAGGGTTCCAAAAGGGTTCTTTGACTGTCCCCATAGGATAACCCTTTTTGGTTCTAGGTAGAACCCTCTCTGTGGAAAAGGTTCTACATGGAACAGAAAGGGGTTCTACCTGGAATCAAAAGAGTTCTACCTGGAACCTGACAGCTCATGTGAGTATTGAGTATTTGTGTGTCTAGGGAGCCTAGGTTTCTTACTTATGGGTGGTACAAATTGGGATATGGGGGAGGGGAATGGGCAGGGTATATGCAAATTACTACGTAGTGTAATGAAACAGGCAGGGAGAGTGAGCTCGTCCGTGGTGGTTGGCGAACACTCAACCTTCTGGCCCGTAGCCCTGCTTGGCATGGACTGTATCACAAAACCATGCTGAAGAGGCAAAGTCGATATCCATGTTTATAAACACAGGAGCGCTACAGTTATAGTTATTTGTGATTGTACATTTTTTTGTTGAGTTAATTCAATGAGGGTGTGCCCATCTTTTTTACAGTACAAGGGTGGGGGGTGCATGTGTGTGTGTGTGTGTGTGTGTGTGTGTGTGTGTGTGTGTGTGTGTGTGTGTGTGTGTGTGTGTGTGTGTAGAAGGAGAAGAGAACAGGACAAGACAAGAAACCTCATATCATGAACCATATTTACACAACCATAAAATAACTTTATTATAATGACAGTAAAAAAATACCAAAGGCCTTAGGGTGCAGGCATCAGAACCCTAGCAAAGTGTTACTTACACAAGACACAGATGGCAGTGGTTTTATTGACAGGTTTAAATACTGCAAATATTTACAAGCAAGAAGTGTTGGCAATCAAACCCAATGAACTAAATTAATCAAATCAATGAATCTTCATTTTTTTCATATGGTGAGAAACCCAAGAGGTTTGGCAGATGAAGGAAAGGAACGCAGTAGTTGTCATCACTCCAATGAGAGGTCAGAGAGCTGTGTTGCCATGAAACAATCAAAGGATGCTGCTTGAACACTTCACAGCCAGCTAGTTGTTAACTCTCTGAACAATAAGATATACAGATCGGATTGTTTTCTGGTTGGGATTTTGTTACCTTGCCAGCAGAATGATAGGATACAGCCTGTATTGCACGTAAGGCAGGCACAATGATATAACAAGCATTAATCAAACTACTTATAGAGAGGTGTTCTCTTCCGTCTGACCAGGATAACATCTGGTTAAATTCAACCTACGTTCACTGTTTGAAGGTATTCGTTCAATTTCCGTAACAAGAAAAAGCAGGCATTTTCTTGTGTGAGGAATGTTGACATTGACATTTTAGAAATTCCAGTACACACTAAACATATTTCCCCTGGTCAGGGCACATCAGAGGAGGCTGGTGGGAGTATAAAACATAGATTAGATTTCAAACAGTAGCCCTAAAGATATTAGGATATAAACTTCTACTGCTTCCAAACGTTTTGAATTAATATAATTCTAAGTTTGAGTCATGACATTCACCCCTTTTACTTAAGGACACTATTAAGCTGCAATGTAAGACAAAGGAAGCCTAGCGATAGATATAGTGTAATGATGCTAATTCTATAGAAAAGACTACGGTCCATTGTGCATGTGTGTGTGTGCTGTATTACAGACACACAGCTGTCAGAGTCAAGTATGACGAGGGACCCACCGGCCCTCCAGGAGACCGTACCGCCCACTGGGGCTGGCTTTAGGGGTACAGGATGCTTGTAGGGGTGGGGTTGGTAGTAGTGGTGGTTAGGGTGGTGGTGGTGGGGGTGGTGATGGTGGTGGTGGTGGTAGTAGTGATGGTGGTGGTGGTGGTAGTAGTGATGGTGGTGGTGGGGGTGGTAGTAGTGATGGTGGTGGTGGTGGTGGTAGTAGTGATGGTAGTAGTAGTGATGGTTGTGGTGGTGGTGATGGGGAGTGAAGGCTGCTGGAGAGTGGTAGGTTATGAGATTCATACCATCTCATCCTTTAGGGCGTCCTTTGTGGTGACATTAGTGAGTCTGACTCTGTCCTCCTCTTTCTCCTCCTGCTCCCTCTTCTTCCTGTCGTGAGCCTCTCCCTCTTGATGGAAGCCCACCATCAGCTGGTAGACTATCGTCCCGAAGGTGGCACCTAGAAACGGGGCAAAGATGGGCACCAGGAACCAGCACTGACCGGCACTGTGAGGACCAGAGAGAGAGAGAGAGAGAGAGAGAATGAGTGAGAGATAGAGGGGCAAAGACATGGAGTGCACAAGATAAATATATATTCTTAATCTTTGCCTCCTCTGCTTTTATCTGTTTGATCCATCATTAACATCTCCCATTTTGTCTCATCTGCATATCAGTAACATACAAAGCTCTAACCAGGACATGGATAAAGAGGGGTACACGTATAGTGCTAGGATACATGTGAAGAGGTGTGAAGACAAGCAGAGAGATGAGGAGGGAACTAGAATAATGCAGAGAGGTGTAGGGGATTGGGGGAGGACTCACGTGAAGACCTCGGAGCCCCAGCCTGCCAGGGAAGTGAAGAGACGGGGCCCCAGGTCCCTGGCAGGGTTGACGGCATAGCCGGAGTTGAAGCCCATGGACAGGCCAATGACCAGCACCACAAAGCCCACTGTGAAGGCCTCCAGACCCTGGGGGATGGGGTTGTTGTAGGGGTCCACAATGGCCAGGACACACACGACCAACGCTGCCGTGCCAATCATCTGAGATAGAGACACATGGAGAATTCCCAATATACTAGTTATATTTCCTGATCTAACCAGTTTGGGGGTTGTATGCAGAAGGAAGATGCTTACCTGGTCGAAGAAGCCGTTGATTAGGGTGAGATGACCGCCAGGGTAGGTGGCGAAGATGCCAGCGGTGGCGTTGGGCCCAGTAACAATGAGCTTTCCAGCAAAGCCCCACAGAGCATCTGAGAGGAGATTACACACAGACAAACATCATGAGATAACATCAACTATAACAAGGTGTTACACTATACACTGATATGGCTAACTTAATAAGGCCTAATGAAGAGTTGTCTCCAATGGATGCTTCAATTCCATCCGAGGACTCACCATAGTACAGACCAAAGATGACCCCGGAGCCCAGGAAAGCGCCCAGTGTCTGGAAGGCAAAGTACACTGGGAACTTTCTCCAGCGTTCTCTCCCAAGCAGGCAGAGGGCGTAGGTCACTGCCGGGTTGAGATGGCCTCCTGGGAAACACACGTTGACAGATTATTAACATTAAAGCAGGATGCTTTCTCGCCAAAGGGACATACATACCTTTCCAACACTGCAACACATTTATCAGGCAGAGGAATACATGACTATTATAGGTTCAGCCTTAGAACAACTCATTGGAACAAATCTGCTCAAGAACCTCTACGCATTATCATATGATGTGCGTACCTGATACCTGGCCACAGACCAGGATCCCTAGGGTGGCAGCGAAGCCAAAAGCAAAGTTGACGGTGAGGAACATTCCATGAGATCCTCCACTAAGCACCAGCTGAGCCACCGCACCACAACCAAACATCTGTCAAGAGAGGGGAGAGACGAAAAGTATAACATGAGTACCAACATTGAGAGACAACATCGTCTGCAAAAAGAGGATTTTAATGAGTGCATATGAGGAGCACTAGGTGTGTAATGCCAGAGCACAGTCAAACATACACCTTGCAATGTTAACACACTACAAATTGAGTCACTCAAGCTTTGTGTAACAAAAGGCTTTGTAAGTATACACCCTGAAGATCAGTACAGGTCAGAAGGGGTGTGCAATCACTGTAAGTGAAACTGGACGCCTTAAAGATTGAAATGGGCTCCAGTCGCAAGGCCCCCTGGAGTGGATGCATTCCACTCAGACCATAGGGCACATATGTCGAGGAACCACACCTCTCGACAAAGGCCTTGGCATCTAGCGGAGGTTCAACATCACTGAGCCCAGTCTAAACTCCTGACGAGACCAGAGGGCCTCACTCTCTTCCGACTCTGTGGAAAAATACTTCAGAGGTACCATCTTTAGACATGTAGGCAAATGTCAGAGGCATCTGATAACATGTCAGTATGGCGCCAAAAAGCCGACTGAATTAGCCAGATCAAATTACGCCGAAAGGTTACTCTCAGAATCATTTAAGTTTCATGACGCAGTGAGCGATGACTTAAAAGACAGCATCTAACAGAATAATGACCTATATCACAGTTCTCTAAATGGCCTGGTGGTGATAGCGACAGCATGTCATGACAGCATTATGCCATGACATTACATGACATTACATGAAAAATGAATGCACTCACTAACTGTAAGTCGCTCTGGATAAGAGCGTCTGCTAAATGACTAAAATGTAAAAAATTACATGACTACATGACATTACCACATGACATTACATGACTACATGATATTACATGACATTACATGACCACATGACATTACATGACATTACATGACTACATGACATTACATGACCACATGACATTACATGACATTACATGACTACATGACATTACATGACCACATGACATTACATGACATTACATGACATGACCACATGATATTACATGACCACATGACATTACATGACTACATGACATTACATGACTACATGACATTACATGACATTACATGACTACATGACATTACATGACCAGATGACATTACATGACATTACATGACCACATGACATTACATGACATTACATGACATGACCACATGATATTACATGACCACATGACATTACATGACCACATGACATTACATGACTACATGACATTACATGACCACATGACATTACATGACCACATGACATTACATGACATTACATGACATGACCACATGATATTACATGACCACATGACATTACATGACCACATGACATTACATGACTACATGACATTACATGACTACATAACATTACTACATTACGCAATCACTCACCAGACTGTCAGACAGTTTATGCTGTGTCCTCATTCTAAGTGCACAGCAACATTATGTTTAGAGATAGACCTGGTCACCCAGGCATCCCTTTTATCCAACAGTAATGGAAGGAGGTAGGTAGGGAGGTAGAGTCAAAGACAGAAAACCTCAGATAGCTAGTCTTTTCCAACATCCCCATACATGAAAACTGTTTATTGGACAAAAGGACAGGTGGAGTGTGAAGAAGTCACCATACTCTTTCCATCACAGAGCCACTCCTACATAGCTGCAGGAAGCAGGGGTGCTGAGGGTGCTGCAGCACGCACTGAAAAATAAAAATATATATGATTTTGTTTTTTATATTTTTAATTTTTTGTGTGTTTTTTTTTTCTCACAAAGGTAGTGCACTGGGCCTTTACTGGTATTAGCGGATCAAAATAGACCTCTGTAGCAAAAAATATTATCAGCATCTCTGCTTTGACAAAAAAGTTGTTGTATAATTAAGAACAGTATCTTGCAGGATTCAATAATTGGAATTGTAAGAGTTGTTGCCCTGTCTGTCCCTTTCTGTGCGATTGTCATTCTAATTGAATCAAGAAAGAACAAAACCCTGTCCTCAAACATTTACATCAAAAGGTGCAAAGTTATGGGTAAAGACGCAAAACATCCACATCAAATTTAATATTTTTCTTGATCAAATAACATGGAAAACAACCACTTTTTGTGCAGTATTAATCTACCATCCTTACAAACCACTTAATGTAAATGTACCTTAAGGTATTGTACATTGGCTGGTCATCTAGGTTTGTACCTGTAGACTTTCCATCACCATGAAGAAAAACACAATACATTAATTGAGTACATTGAGACATCAAGTGGTATGTGATGATGTGGCTCAGTTGGTAGAGCATGGTGCTTGCAATGCTAGAGTTGTGGGTTTGATTCCCACGGGGGGACCAGTACGAAAATGTATGGACTCACTACTGTAAGTTGCTCTGGATAAGAACGTCTGCTAAAAAGGAATGAATAGACCATTTAAGTTTTCACATAGAAAGTTGCATTTGCAACGTATTTCAAGAAACTGGAAAACATACAGTACCAGTCAAAAGTTTGGACACACCTACTCATTGCAGAGTTTCTTTATTTTTACTATTTTCTACATTGTATAATAATAGTGAAGACATCAAAACTATGAAATAACACATGGAATCATGTAGAAACCAAAAAAGTGATCCAATAATAGTTGGATCTATTTGATTCCATATGTGTTATTTCATAGTTTTGATGTCTTCACTATTATTCTACAACGTAGAAAATAGTTTTTAAAAAATAAAGAAAAACCCTTGAATGAGTAGGTGTGTCCAAACTTTTGACTGATACTGTATATCAAGCAAGTATTTCTATATTCCACAAGTATTATCAGATTAACTGTTTTGTACAGATAATTATCAGACTCAAGTTATAAATGTTTGGTAAACACTCAAATACATTTAGTCATTTATTTATTTTTTCACCAAAGTAGTGCACTGGGCCTTTACTAGTCCTGTATTAGCGGACTGATACAGACGTCTTAAAACACTGCACCCCCACCCCCAAACTACTTCCCGCGGCGATGCACTCCTATGAACATTGTTTGAAGATAGTGATTTGGGGGTGGTCAGCCGTGGTTCTGTGTGGCAGTATGTGGTCTCCCGCCCCTTGGATTTAAGCAAAGCAGAGCACACAAAGACTGTTTCACAGATGGAGCTGAAAATATAAGGAGAACGCTTATTGCTGTTTTTCCCCCTAACTCCTGGGTTTATGTAAGGACTGCATTGTTTCCTGGGTGGTGCACATGCACACCACCTCTGGGGCCTGAAGGACGTGTTCTGTATGTCCAACCACCTGTCACACACAGGTGGCCCTGTAAGAGCTCAGGAAAGACCTGTCTGCTGATAGAGTCACTGTCACCCGCTGACCTTCAGAGACAAAGAGTGCCTGTTGGCTCCTCACTGACCCCCTTCACTCCAGAGACACCACAATCATTCAGTGGTCTAATTGACGACTTTAGTTTAGTTTCGATCTTTCCTATACCTTCAGTGTAAACTGGAGTCAGGTATACCATTGTAAAGAATGCAGAGATCTGTTCTCCATATTTGGCATGAGCTGTGCGCATGCCAAATCTAATGCACACACACACACTGAAAAACACACATACACACACACATAAACAAACCCTGCCCTTCCTTCCTCCACCTCCCTACCTGAGTATCATCAGAGCGCCTACGTGTTCACTCAGACATCACATTACTTAGTCATTAGCACAACTTGAAGACAGATGACATCTACCTATGTCCAGGAGAACACTTGGCGTGTTCACATTTCACCCATTGTGTTGTTGCTGTCACTCCCAATACTGCCACCCATAACATACATTAAGAAACTTTGTTTAAAACGGATGTGAAAGAGCCTGTGATGAAAATGTATATACTCACTACTGTAAGTTAATCTGGATAAGAGTGTCTGCTAAAATGGAAAAGGAATGAATAGACCATTTCAGTTTTCACATAGAAATAAGTTGCATTTGCAAAGTATTTCAAGAAACTGGAAAACATATATCAAGCAAGTATTTTTATATTCCACTAGTATTATCAGATTAACTGTTTTGTACAGATAATTATCAGACTCAAGTTACAAATGATGGTAAATACTAAAATACATTTAGTTAAAAAGGTAAGAATGAATCATCCCTCCAACAACTCTCTGAGCCAAACAGCGAAAGTTAACTGCCTAGAAACCTTTAGGTTGTATACTGGCTAGACTGTCCGGTAGGTGCTTAGTGGCCATTGACTGCTAGAGCCAGATAACAATACAAATAGCAGGGGATGTTTAGTTTGTTTATTTAACATGGCCAATGGCCAAGGGTCTGGATTAATTTATGTCAATGACTGAGGGAAGATTTAATCTGTCAGTTTCATTAAAGCTGGATGTGTCCTTCTAGAAAAAGGCCACTCTAAGAGGGCAACAATCAACAGCGGTCAAAAGTGCAAGCAAGAAGCAACCATCCCTAATATTATTTTTAAAAACAAATTCTTACAATATTATAGTTTGTGCTAAAGTGAAGCTCTCAAATGTTCTACTGCTTGAGGTTCTGCACCTCCTATAGAATATTAGCTCCAAAGTATTGTGGAGTGGCGCAGTGGTCTAAAGCACTGCTGCTAACTGTGCCACTAGAGATCCTGGTTCGAATCCAGGCTCTGTCGTAGCCGGCCGCGACCGGGAGACATGGGGCGGCGCACAATTGGCCCAGCGTCGTCCAAGGTAGGGGAGGGTTTGGCCGGCAGGGATGGCGTTTGCAATGCCAGGGTTGTGGGTTCGATTCCCATGGGGGGCCAGTATGAAAAAAAATTATGTATGCACTCACTAACTGTAAGTTGCTCTGGATAAGAGTGTCTGCTAAATGAGTAAAATGTAAATGTAATGTAAATGAGTTCCTACATCTGAATATAAACAGTACCGGCACCCAAAATGAGTACCGGCACATATTTCAGTCCAAGTCAAGCACTGCTTAATCTCCTCAGGGGACATACATTTTACACACAACGTACAGTGTGTTGAATTCTAGACTACCATTATCTCTGTGTTCAATATCAACAAGGCTTGTGGCATGTCACCAAGATGAAGAATAAGGATCAAATATGACAGACACAATATGTGTCAAGTACACAGAGATTTACAAACACACGTGTGTGTGAATGTGTGTTTATGGATATGATTCAAAAACACATATATACAAACATGCAAGTGCACACACACACACACACACACACACACACAAACACAGCAGAAGGGCATGAAGTTGTAGGGTGAGCCTGGGATCCTGGATCGTTATGCTGGGTAAGTATCATGTGTCCATGTTCTTGCCAACAAGAGCAAGCATATTCTAGTACAGACTCAAAGACTGTAATGTACAGCTGCCTATATGAGTCTCACATTCCCGACCCCTATAACTCTGAAGTCAAGGCTAGCACAACCTGTAAACACATGCTGAACTTTTCCACCATTATCCATCGCTCTCACATCTTGGCATTACAACAATGGTCCATACTCAAGTTATTGTTAATTCAGAATTAATACAGCCAAGAATATGAATAGATGAAGGACAGGAATAATGTAACCTGCAATGTCGTATTTCAAGGAGATATACAGGTATGAATACGCTCAAACTAATGTTTATTGTGGCAAAGAATCATGATAGTAAAACATGCAGTCTACTCTTCGAAGGAAAGCTTGATTGAGGATAACCTGACCATAGATGTGGAAAATGAGTGAGGTTAACCTGACCATAGATGTGGAAAATTAGTGAGGATAACCTGACCATAGATGTGGAAAATGAGTGAGGATAACCTGACCATAGATGTGGAAAATGAGTGAGGATAACCTGACCATACATATGATGGATGAGAATGTGAGTAAGGAGGTGACGGATAGAGGGGTCTCTTACCACCAGGATGAGGGTACCCAGACACTCTGCCAGAGCCTGGCGCAGCAGCAGGTTACGGATCTGGAAGTTCTGTGCCAGCTTTTTCAACCATGTCTTCTGTTTTCCCATGGTTCAGTGCTGCTCGGCTAGCCTCCTGAACTGTGACTGGTGGCAGTAGGTAGGTAGGTAGGTAGGTCCTCCTGAGTGTGTTAATGGCTGATGCCCTGGCCTCCTGTACTGTGACTGGTGACGGTAGGTAGGTAGGTCCTCCTGAGTGTGTGTGATGGCTGATGCCCTGGCCTCCTTCTCTTATAGGACCTGGACTTCCTGTGGCCCCTGCCAAAATCTGCCTCCTCGAACACTCCCTTCTCTCTCCCTGACTCAGTCTCTCTCTCCCTCCCTTCTCTCTCCCTCCCTTCTCCCTTCTCCCTCCCTTCCTTCTCCCTCCATCCTCTCTCTCCCTCCCTTCTCCCTCCCTTCCTTCTTCCTCCCTCCCTTCTCTCTCCCTCCCTTCTCTCTCCCTCCCTTCTCCCTCCCTCCCTCCCTCCCTTCCTTCTCCCTCCCTCCCTTCTCTCTCCCTCCCTCAGTCTCTCTCTCTCTCTCTCTCTCTCTCTCTCTCTCTCTCTCTCTCTCTCTCTCTTCCTCTTCTGAATCTCTCTCTCTTTTCCTTTTTGTCTGTCTGGTTTCTCTGTTGTGTTATTCCTGCTTTGTCTGGTCTGAATAGAGGTGTGAGTCACTCAAAAGCAGTTATAGGGATAGACCTTACACATGCTTTATGAGCTTACCATACTGTCATCTGGTAATACATCAACAGATCTCAGAACTGTCTGACAGCCCTTTGCTTGACATGAGACAGCCTGCCTCAGGTCCCTGCATGGTGTCTGTAATGAAGCTGGCAGTTTGTTGAACCCATTTTTGGGCTGACTTCACTCAGATCTACCTGACACAACGTGAAATCCACTATACTGAAAATGTTTAAAGTATGTTAGTTATTTGTGGGAAGAAAGGGTCTGCCATAGTTTACTGTATGTGAGTGTTAGCCTGAGTATCTCTACTCATGCTAGTGTGAGATATGTTTTGAAGTGAAGTAGACTACTTGTACTCTGTAATTTGTGCTTTCCTACTTCACAATGTACTGTGTAATCTTGGTGTAAGAAGCATACATTTTGAGCAGTTATAGAGATATAATGACAGGCACCTCTATTCAGACAAGACAAAGCAGGAACAGTACATTGTGATAAAGTTTCAGGTAGAGAACAAAGAAACAGGACGGACGAAAGGACAAGAGAGAGTGTGAGAATCAGAAGAGTTAACTTCAGAAGAGGAAGAGTTAACTTCAGAAGAGGAAGAGCTAACATCAGAAGAGGAAGAGTTAACTTCAGAAGAGGAAGAGCTAACTTCAGAAGAGGAAGAGTTAACTTCAGAAGAGGAAGAGTTAACTTCAGAAGAGGAAGAGTTAACTTCAGAAGAGGAAGAGCTAACTTCAGAAGAGGAAGAGTTAACTTCTTATTATTCTATATTGCCATTGGGCAGAGGAACATCTGCACTTTTATAACTCATCTCATGCTATTCTACACATTTTGCAAAGAGGCTGAGAGAATGTTGCATTTTTTAAGCTAATTTCCAGCAATTCTAAACATATTGCCATGGGGCAGAAAGAAAATTGTGCAGTTTAATAGCTAATTTTATGCTATTCTACACATTTTGCAATGAGGCTGAGATGAGATTGTCTTTTTTCAATCGTTTTTCCACCATTCATTTTTCCCGTAGGGGATTGCAGAAACACTTAAAGGGCTGTGTTTCAAATCAAATCAAATCAAATGTTATTTGCCATATGCGACGAATACAACAGGTGTAGACATTACCGTCAAATGCTTACTTACAGCCCTTAACCAACAATGCATTAATTTTTTTATAAAAAAGTAAAATAAAACAACAACAACAAAAAAGTGTTGAGAAAAAAAGAGCAGAAGTAAAATAAAATAACAGTAGGGAGGCTATATACAGGGGGGGTACCGGTGCTGAGTCAATGTGCGGGGGCACCGGCTAGTTGAGGTAATATGTACATGTGGTAGAGTTAAAGTAACTATGCATAAGTAATTAGCAGAGTAGCAGCAGCGTAAAAAGATGGGGTGGGGGTGGGGGGGCAGTGCAAATAGTCCGGGTAGCCATGATTAGCTGTTCAGGAGTCTTATGGCTTGGGGGTAGAAGATGTTGAGAAGCCTTTTGGACCTAGACTTGGCGCTCCGGTACCGCTTGCCGTGCGGTAGCAGAGAGAACAGTCTATGACTAGGGTGGCTGGAGTCTTTGATAGTTTTGAGGGCCTTCCTCTGACACCGCCTGGTATAGAGGTCCTGGATGGCAGGAAGCTTGGCCCCAGTGATGTACTGGGCCGTACGCACTACCCTCTGTAGTGCCTTGCAGTCGGAGGCCGAGCAGTTGCCATACCAGGCAATGATGCAACCAGTCAGGATGCTCTCGATGGTGCAGCTGTATAACTTTTTGAGGATCTGAGGACCCATGCCAAATCTTTTCAGTCTCCTGAGGGGGAATAGGCTTCACGACTGTCTTGGTGTGTTTGGACCATGATAATTCATTGGTGATGTGGACACCAAGGAACTTGAAGCTCTCAACCTGTTCCACTACAGCCCCGTCGATGAGAATGGGGGCGTGCTCAGTAATCTTTTTTTTCCTGTAGTCCACAATCATCTCCTTTGTCTTGATCACGTTGAGGGAGAGGTTGTTATCCTGGCACCACACGGCCAGGTCTCTGACCTCCTCCCTATAGGCTGTCTCATCGTTGTCGGTGATCAGGCCTACCACTGTTGTGTTGTCTGCAAACTTAATGATGGTGTTGGAGTCGTGCCTGGCCATGCAGTCATGGGTGAACAGGGAGTACAGGAGGGGACTGAGCACGCACCCCTGAGGGGCCCCCGTGTTGAGGATCAGCGTGGCAGATGTGTTGTTACCTACCCTTACCACCTGGAGGCGGCCCGTCAGGAAGTCCAGGATCCAGTTGCAGAGGGAGGTGTTTTGTCCCAGGATCCTTAGATTAGTGATGAGCTTAGAGGGCACTATGGTGCTGAACGCTGAGCTGTAGTCAATGAATAGCATTCTCACGTAGGTGTTCCTCTTGTCCAGGTGAGAAAGGGCAGTGTGGAGTGCAATAGAGATTGCATCATCTGTGAATCTGTTGGGGCGGTGTGCAAATTGGAGTGGGTCTAGGGTTTCTGGAATAGTGGTGTTGATGTGAGCCATGACCAGCCTTTCAAAGCACTTCACGGCTACAGACGTCAGTGCTACGGGTCGGTAGTCATTTAGGCAGGTTATCTTAGTGTCCTTGGGCACGAGGACTATGGTGGTCTGCTTGAAACATGTTGGTATTACAGACTCAGTCAGGGACATGTTGAAAATGTCAGTGAAGACACTTGCCAGTTGGTCAGCACATGCTCGTGTAGGCTTACCCTGGCGTGATGTTTGGATAACCATGTAAATCTCTCTCGGACAAGGTAACTTTTATAAATATATATTCGGCTCTATTTACTCAGATTCGAACATGCTAATTAGCATCAAAGTAGACATCATGCAAAACTACAAATCTCTGCAAGCTCCTGCACGTCATGTCTAGCTGACACCTTTGCTAACTTTTACTGTGTCAATTTAAAACTTGCACAAGACAGTTCACAAAATTGCCAATTTAAAGCAATGTAGCCAATTTATTCACTACTACATTTAGCTAACAGATAGTTAATCCAGAGATTTTTACCTTTGCCTTGATTCGGCAGTCTCGTCCAGATCATCATGGCATTTGTAGTTCTTTATGGTAGCCACATGAGCAGCTAATTAGCGTTTCATTTTTTGGGGGGTAAATACAGGCAAATATATTGATAAATGTCACCTTGTCCTAGAGAGATTTACACACTTATCAAAACGCCATGCCAGGGTAATCCTACATGAAACACAGCCCTAATTTTAAGTGTTTCTAAAATCCCCTATGTGAAAAATGAATGGTAGAAAAATGATTGGAACCATTTCCCAGTTTGACAGCTAGGTTTTATGGGTATTCTGACTCATGCTGTGGTACTCTATTACCATCAGTGCTTGACTTGGGCCAGAGCTCTCTGGAGTGAATTGCTACCAGCTCCCCTATAAAACAAAGTAGCCTATGACTGGCCCAGAGGGAAAAAAGGTTGATCAACGCAGAATGGTGGTGGTATCTTCATTGAATAGCAATGGAGAGTGGGCATTCATTTCCTGATTCTGCTTTGTTCAAGTTCATTTGCCACTAGTCTGTGAATCTATGCGTGACGTACAGTGAGGGAAAAAAGTATTTGATCCCCTGCTGATTTTGTACGTTTGCCACTGACAAAGACATGATCAGTCTATAATTTTAATGGTAGGTTTATTTGAACAGTGAGAGACAGAATAACAACAACAAAAAATCAGAAAAACGCATGTCAAAAATGTTATAAATTGATTTGCATTTTAATGAGGGAAATAAGTATTTGACCCCTCTGCAAAACATGACTTAGTACTTGGTGGCAAAACCCTTGTTGGCTATCACAGAGGTCAGACGTTTCTTGTAGTTGGCCACCAGGTTTTCAAACATCTCAGGAGGGATTTTGTTCCACTCCTTTTTGCAGATCTTCTCCAAGTCATTAAGGTTTCGAGGCTGACGTTTGGCAACTCGAACCTTCAGCTCCCTCCACATATTTTCTATGGGATTAAGGTCTGGAGACTGGCTATGCCACTCCAGGACCTTAATGTGCTTCTTCTTGAGCCACTCCATTGTTGCCATGGCCGTGTGTTTTGGGTCATTGTCATGCTGGAATACCCATCCACGACCCATTTTCAATGCCCTGGCTGAGGGAAGGAGGTTCTCACCCAAGATTTGACGGTACATGGCCCCGTCCATCGTCCCTTTGATGCGGTGAAGTTGTCCTGTGCCCTTAGGAGAAAAACACCCCCAAAGCATAATGTTTCCACCTCCATGTTTGACGGTGGGGATGGTGTTCTTGGGGTCATAGGCAGCATTCATCCTCCTCCAAACACGGCGAGTTGATGCCAAAGAGCTCAATTTTGGTCTCATCAGACCACAACACTTTCACCCAGTTCTCCTCTGAATCATTCAGATGTTCATTGGCAAACAACAGACGGCCCTGTATATGTGCTTTCTTGAGCAGGGGGACCTTGCGGGCGCTGCAGGATTTCAGTCCTTCACGGCGTAGTGTGTTACCAATTGTTTTCTTAGTGACTATGGTCCCAGCTGCCTTGAGATCATTGACAAGATCCTCCCGTGTAGGTCTGGGCTGATTCCTCACCATTCTCATGATCATTGCAACTCCCCGAGGTGAGATCTTGCATGGAGGCCCAGGCCGAGGGAGATTGACAGTTATTTTGTGTTTCTTCCATTTGCGAATAATCGCACCAACTGTTGTCACCTTCTCACCCAGCTGCTTGGTGATGGTCTTGTAGCCCATTCCAGCCTTGTGTAGGTCTACAATCTTTTCCCTGACATCCTTGGAGAGCTCTTTGGTCTTGGCCATGGTGGAGAGTTTGGAATCTGATTGATTGATTGCTTCTGTGGACACGTGTCTTTTATACAGGTAACAAACTGAGATTAGGAGCACTCCCTTTAAGAGTGTGCTCCTAATCTCAGCTCGTTACCTGTATAAAATACACCAGGGAGCCAGAAATCATTCTGATTGAGAGGGGGTTAAATACTTATTTCCCTCATTAAAATTCAAATCAATTTATAACATTTTTGACATGCGTTTTGCTGGATTTTTTTGTTGTTATTCTGTCTCTCACTGTTCAAATAAACCTACCATTAAAATTATAGACGGATCATTTCTTTGTCAGTGGGCAAACGTACAAAATCAGCAGGGGATCAAATACTTTTTCCCTCACTGTATGCTGTAAGTGTTTGAGATTGTGCATATTGAAAATAGGTAAGAGGTTCATAAAGAAAAGGCAAACACTTGTGTTATTTATCCTTTATTTCCATTCACTATGATGTGTAACTAAGGTAAATTATGCAAAGTGTTAGCTTTCTCTTTTGTTTTGCAATTGTATTTTATTTTTTCTTACCCATTTCACAGTTGCAAAAGAATATGCAAGTTCTCAAAAATGTACCGCAGAGGCGATACTTGTCAGCTCTGTGATTATGAAACCAGTGAGAACCTGCTTTTACAGGATTTGGATGGTTATCGTTACACCCAAACAGCCAGAGGTAATGACACTTCATGTTACTCATGTTACTCATGCGTCCCCAGGTTTCTTCCCAGAAGCAGGCGAGGATGTAGCCTAGTCTGTCATGCTCAGGCATGCCTCTCAAATGTTTGTAACAATGCGGAGGCCTCCATATAGACATGATTCGTTAACGGAAGATGAGGGCAGGAGGTCCTGTATAAACAAACTCACTTCCTTCACAACAGCTCTGCGAAGCACAATACGTATGAATGCCCTGACTTCTGCAGAGGCCTTATCACCGTAAATGCTGCACGGCCAATGCAGACGCAGATTGCCCATGCAGCACCTTTAAGTTTATGGCATGCTTTCATGGACAGGGTGAACCGCCCCCTGTTGGTCAGGATACATCATCTCAACTAGACTGCTTTTACACCAAGGGGAATACTGTAGAAACAGTTCACTGCTACCGCATCACAATGTCTGTATTTACCCTCCCAGATGAAAACAGTAACACAGACACCTACGCGGTTGAGAATAATAGTTTATGAGACAGGGTAAAGGACCAGCAAAAACAAAGACATGGGTTTAGTTTCTTACAACATTTCTCCTACCCAGTAAATCTCCATGACTTGTGTTTATAACATAATTAGATATACAATGAATATAAGTGTTCAAGCTGGACTCAGGGGTAAACATAACATAGTAAAAGTAAATTGACTCCCGCCATTTAGTATGATGTTACATTTCGTATGGTATGCATTTATTTGTTGATGTCCATCATCCATTTCGTATGATATGTTATGAATTGCAATTTGTACAATGTTACAAATTTGCAATACATATATGTTACAATTTCCAAATTGTTGTGGCTAACGTTAGCTAGGTTGCTAATGTTAGGAGTTAGGTTAAAGGGTTAAGGTTAGCTAACATGCTAAGTAATCTCAGCAAAAAAAAGAAACGTCCCTTTTTCAGGACCCTGTCTTTCAAAGATAATTCGTAAAAATCCAAATAACTTCACCGATCTTCATTGTAAAGGGTTTAAACACCGTTTCCCATGCTTGTTCAATGAACCATAAACAATGAATTAATTAATGAACCTGTGGAACGGTCGTTAAGACACTAACAGCTTACAGACGGTAGGCAATTAAGGTCACAGTTATGAAAATTTAGGACACTAAAGAGGCCTTCCTACTGACTCTGGAAAACACCAAAAGAAAGATTGCCAGGCTCCCTGCTCATCTGCGTGAACATGCCTTAGGCATGCTGCAAGGAGGCATGAGGACTGCAGATGTGGCCAGGGCAATAAATTGCAATGTCCGTACTGTGAGATGCCTAAGACAGCGCTACAGGGAGACAGGACGGAGAGCTGATCGTCCTCGCAGTGGCAGACCACGTGTAACAACACCTGCACAGGATCAGTACATCCAAACATCACACCTGCGGGACAGGTACAAGATGGCAACATCAACTGCCCAAGTTACACCAGGAACGCACAATCCCTCCATCAGTGCTCAGACTGTCCGCAATAGGCTGAGAGAGGCTGGACTGAGGGCTTGTAGGCCTGTTGTAAGGCAGGTCCTCACCAGACATCACCGGCAACAACGTCGCCTATGGGCACAAACCCACCGTCGCTGGACTAGACAGGACTGGCAAAAAGTGCTCTTCACTGACGAGTCGCGGTTTTGTCTCACCAGGGGTGATGGTCGGATTCGCGTTTATCGTCGAAGGAATGAGCGTTACAACGTGGCCTGTACTCTGGAGCGGGATCGATTTGGAGGTGGAGGGTCCGTCATGGTCTGGGGCGGTGTGTCACAGCATCATCGGACTGAGCTTGTTGTCATTGCAGGCAATCTCAACGCTGTGCGTTACAGGGAAGACATCATGTGGTACCCTTCCTGCAGGCTCATCCTGACATGACCCTCCAGCATGACAATGCCACCAGCCATACTGCTCGTTCTGTGCGTGATTTCCTGCAAGACAGGAATGTCAGTGTTCTGCCATGGCCAGCGAAGAGCCCGGATCTCAAACCCATTGAGCACGTCTGGGACCAGTTGGATCGGAGGGTGAGGGCTAGGGCCATTTCCCCCAGAAATGTCCGGGAACTTGCAGGTGCCTTGGTGGAAGAGTGGGGTAACATTTCACAGCAAGGACTGGCAAATCTGGTGCAGTCCATGAGGAGGAGATGCACTGCAGTACTTAATGCAGCTGGTGGCCACACCAGATACTGTTACTTTTGACCTCCCCCCTTTGTTCAGGGACACATTATTCAATTTCTGTTAGTCACATGTCTGTGGAACTTGTTCAGTTTATGTCTCCGTTGTTGAATCTTATGTTCATACAAATATTTACACGTTAAGTTTGCTGAAAATAAACGCAGTTGACAGTGAGAGGACGTTTCTTTTTTGCTGAGTTTAGTTGCAAAGTAGCTAAAAAAGTAGTAAGTAGTTGCAAAGTTGCTAGTTAGCTAAAATGCTAAAGTTGTCCGTAATGAGATTTGAACATGCAACCTTCGCACTACAAAAGGTTGCTGGCTATGGGGAATCCATTTAAAATCGAACGTGATTGTGTAGTTAGAATATGATCATGGTACGTGTGTGTGGGGGTGTGTGACCTCAGTCTACACTACACCACCCATCTCTCTGTCCTTGGCTCCACCGACTTCACCAGGCCCTGGCCCATGACCCTGAAGTCCTCCAGGATGGCCTCCACGTTGGGGACAGTGTGAACCTCCTCCCCATTCACCTCCACACGACGAGCCACCATCTGGGAGGTCTGTTCCAGAGGGACACACACATGACCAGGGGGGAAAATAAATGAATAAGCAAATAGAGGGAAAGAAAGACGTGTTCTGTGATTTCCGGTCTTTACCTTGAACGGCAGTGGGCTGAAGGCTTTGGGTTTCCATAGCACCGCGATCACAGTGCCACCGTAGGGGTCATAGAAGAACAGAGCCAGGTCTCTAAATGCATCCTGTGAAATATGGGCAGACACAGGTTTAAAAACAGAAAGCCATTTACCCACTTGAGTCAAGTACCAAAATGACAAGAACTACATGGTCTGAAACCTACATACACAAGACAATAGACCTGGCTGCACGAGGCCACTAGAAATAAATGGCAAACTGCACGTCAAAAAAAAAACACAGACATTGTATTTTTGCTTCTATAGAAAAGCAGCAAGCCAGAGTCCATTGAGCACCTGAGCACCACACAAGTACTTACTCTGATCTCTGCCAGGTAGTGGGTGACGGGGTTGAAGTCGATGACGGGTAGCGCCCCTCCAGTGTTGGGTACGCTGCCAGCCAGGATGCCCCTGCTGAAGGTAGCATGAGGCGGGTCCACTGCCTGGCCAAGTAAGGGGACCTGCTTGGGGCTTAGGTGGATCAGGACATCATAGGCATCCAATGGAGGCCGCATGGCCACCTGTGTGTGTGTACACAAAGGAGAGAACAGAGGAAAATGAGGAGAAGGAGTGATAATGATGGAATGGTGTACTACAAAAAAAGTAGGTTTGACAATGCAATAATTTTGGGGAAATTAAGAAAAACATACAATTATGCATGTAGTAGTTTTAAGTGTGTGTGTGTGTGTGTGAGAGTGTGTGTGTGTGTGTGTGTGTGTGTGTGAGTGAGAGAGTGACTGACCCTGACGTCCTGTATCTGGCTGGTGTCCATCAGCTGAGGTTCCAGGATCTTCAGGCTCTCTGCAGCCACCATCACCACACGCTGCAGCATCTGAGCACACAGGGAGACGCACACCCCCCTCAATAACACACATTTATACCCCACACCTACATACGGCCCAGCATAGTGAGCGTGAACCTACCAAACCCTTGTTTGTTGTGTCCGTAAAGAGATATATGTTTAGGGCCTCACGAGTGGCGCAGCGGTCTAAGGCACTGCATCGCGGTGCTTGAGGCGTCACTACAGACCCGGGTTCGATCCCAGGCTGTGTCATAACCGGTCGTGACCAGGAGTCACATAGGGCGGCGCACAATTGGCTCAGCGTCCGGGTTAGGGGAGGGTTTGGCCGTCGGGGCTTTACTTGGCTCATTGCGCTCTAGCGACTCCATGTGGCGGGCCGGGCGCCTGCAGGCTGACTTCGGTCGTCAGTTGAATAGTGTTTCCTCCGATCGCAATTGGGGAGAAAAAGGGGGTTAAATACAACAACAAATACATTACAAACATTAATAAATAGAAGGAAATACACTGCTAAAAAAATAAAGGGAACACTTAAACAACACATCCTAGATCTGAATGAATGAAATAATCTTATTAAATACTTTTTTCTTTACATAGTTGAATGTGCTGAGAACAAAATCACACAAAAATTATCAATGGAAATCAAATTTATCAACCCATGGAGGTCTGGATTTGGAGTCACCCTCAAAATTAAAGTGGAAAACCACACTACAGGCTGATCCAACTTTGATGTAATGTCCTTAAAACAAGTCAAAATGAGGCTCAGTAGTGTGTGTCGCCTCCACGTGCCTGTATGACCTCCCTACAACACCTGGGCATGCTCCTGATGAGGTGGCGGATGGTCTCCTGAGGGATCTCCTCCCAGACCTGGACTAAAGCATCCACCAACTCCTGGACAGTCTGTGGTGCAACGTAGCGTTGGTGGATGGAGCGAGACATGATGTCCCAGATGTGCTCAATTGGATTCAGGTCTGGGGAACGGGCGGTCCATAGCATCAATGCCTTCCTCTTGCAGGAACTGCTGACACACTCCAGCCACATGAGGTCTAGCATTGTCTTGCATTAGGAGGAAGCATATGGTCTCACAAGGGGTCTGAGGATCTCATCTCGGTACCTAATGGCAGTCAGGCTACCTCTGGCGTGCACATGGAGGGCTGTGCGGCCCCCCAAAGAAATGCCACCCCACACCATGACTGACCCACCGCCAAACCGGTCATGCTGGAGGATGTTGCAGGCAGCAGAACATTCTCCACGGCGTCTCCAGACTCTGTCACATGTGCTCAGTGTGAACCTGCTTTCATCTGTGAAGAGCACAGGGCGCCAGTGGCGAATTTGCCAATCTTGGTGTTCTCTGGCAAATGCCAAACGTACTGCATGGTGTTGGGCTGTAAGCACAACCCCCACCTGTGTACGTCGGGCCCTCATACCACCCTCATGGAGTCTGTTTCTGACCGTTTGAGCAGACACATGCACATTTGTGGCCTGCTGGAGGTCATTTTGCAGGGCTCTGGCAGTGCTCCTCCTACTCCTCCTTGCACAAAGGCGGAGGTAGCGGTCCTGCTGCTGGGTTGTTGCCCTCCTACGGCCTCCTTCATGTCTCCTGATGTACTGGCCTGTCTCCTGGTAGCGCCTCCATGCTCTGGACACTACGCTGACAGACACAGCAAACCTTCTTGCCACAGCTCGCATTGATGTGCCATCCTGGATGAGCTGCACTACCTGAGCCACTTGTGTGGGTTGTAGACTCCGTCTCATGCTACCACGAGTGAAAGCACCGCCAGCATTCAAAAGTGACCAAAACATCAGCCAGGAAGCATAGGAACTGAGAAGTGGTCTGTGGTCACCACCTGCAGAACCACTTCTTTATTGGGGGTGTCTTGCTAATTGCCTATAATTTCCACCTGTTGTCTATTCCATTTGCACAACAGAATGTGACATTTATTGTCAATCAGTGTTGCTTCCTAAGTGGACAGTTTGATTTCACAGAAGTGTGATTGACTTGGAGTTACATTTTGTGTTGTTTAAGTGTTCCCTTTATTTTTTTGAGCAGTGTATATTTTTTACCTCCTCATTCGGAACTATCCTCACCTGTCGTTTAACAGCCGCAATAGCGGCAATATTGTGAATGAGTCAACTAAGGACAGTTTCTGAGTTCTATTGAATCGCTATGTCTACTCTCTCTGTTGGCTTAACACCAGACTTCATCAGAAAGATCTGGTACATTTTCAAGGACGGGAATCTTGGGGAGAACATTGGGCTGTAAAAACATGTGCGCTGAGCACAATTATAAGCTGTTCTATCAAAATGTGCTCAGCTCAGCCTCTTGATTAATAATTTGATTGGCAAGTGAAAAGTGCAGTGTCCTTGGACATAGAATCATTCTACCAGCTACCCCGCAGCCTTCGTGCTTCACATCTTTGTTTTGGTCCCATTCACAGCTGGAACACTGCAGTGATTCAAAATGAACTGCACCTTTGCCAACAATGTGAAAGTGACGTGACAGATGCCGCAAACGCACACGATTTTCTCAGTCACATGACATTTTAGTTATTCTGCACGTCACGCATTAGGCCTAATGAATTCAAAGTTCTTTGAGAGACACATAAAAACCTGTCAGGTCTAGAGAGCAGCTAGTTGGAGCTGTAATCCAGTGGTTTAAGTGGAAGGGGAAGCGACATGAGAAGATTGCAAATCTGCCGGCTCTACCTCCTCCCCATTTTACTGTGTGCTGCCGTATTTCTCAACACACTGTCAAACAGCGGACATGAAAACAAGATCTTCAACTGATTTCCTTCCAGAAGTGGACAGGGATAAAAAATAAAAATAAACTGGAGAGCGTTACATTCACTTTTTGATCATATTATTCCTGATAATATTTAAGCCATATCCATTGTATTTGTCTATAACACCATAAATGAAAAAGAAAGCAGTCAGGCAAAATGTTCTTATGGCCATTTTGAATTAATGTAATATAATTATTGTATTGTTGTCATAACATGACAAACTGAATGTGTATGGCATTACAGATGAGTGATTTACAAGAGGTGCTTGAAAGGTTAAAAAGCAACCGCGGTCCATATCAGGGAAATAAACAGTCAGCTGCCTATGGTGAGTGCAATACGACACCAGTCATTTCTACAGGCATTTAGACTTTTACCATTTAAAAAAACATTTTACTAAGCAGTAATATTGATAACGGTATGAGTGGATCTTTCAACAATGTGATGCAGGAGAGCTGTGTGCTTTGAGGAAGGGTCCAAGGATCGGAAACTGTGTGACTGCCGAATACCAAGAACGTGCAATTAATTTCTGCTCCGCTGTTTATGATGGCACCTCTGCTATTATATTCACTATGCTGTTTAATATACAGATACTGGCAAGAACATGGCCTGTCCTAGACAGTGTGAGAGTCATTTGAAAAGTTTGAATTCTAACCATTTTTTTTTTTTCAAACTCTGTTTCTGTTTGTGCCTCTTATGTTCCTATGCTGTGTACAATGTGCTGCACAAATAAAATGATATTGGATGTGACATACTGGTGAATGTACTGTGTGTGTGTTCTGACCTGCACAGAGGGAGCCTGCTTGGTCCAAATGGACAGTTTCTTGTCGTTGGGCGTGGCCATGAACATAACAGGCAGAGACTCTCTGGAGGCTATGAAGTCATTCTTGATCTCAGTGTAGTCAGCAGCTACAGAAGATGATGACAGGACAGACGGGAGGAGAGAGGGAAAGAGAGAGATTAGACAGGACAGAGGGAAGGAGAGAGGACAGCACAGAGGGAGGGAGAGAGAGAGAGAGAGAGGGGTAGGAGAGAGAGTGGACAGGACAGAGGGAAGGAGAATGGACAGCACAGAGGGAGGGATAGAGAGAGGGGGGCAGGAGAGAGAGTGGACAGGACAGAGGGAAGGAGAATGGACAGCACAGAGGGAGGGAGAGAGAGAGAGGGGTAGGAGAGAGAGTGGACAGGACAGAGGGAAGGAGAGCGGGAGGGGAAGGAGAGAGGGAGAGAGAGAGAGAGCAGACAGGACAGAGGGAAGGAGAGGACAGCACAGAGGGAGGGAGAGAGAGAGAGGGGTAGGAGAGAGAGTGGACAGGACAGAGGGAAGGAGAGAGAGAGAGGGGTAGGAGAGAGAGTGGACAGGACAGAGGGAAGGAGAGAGAGAGAGGGGTAGGAGAGAGAGTGGACAGGACAGAGGGAAGGAGAGCGGGAGGGGAAGGAGAGAGGGAGAGAAAGAGAGCAGACAGGACAGAGGGAAGGAGAGCGGGAGGGGAAGGAGAGAGGGAGAGAAAGAGAGCAGACAGGACAGAGGGAAGGAGAGGACAGCACAGAGGGAGGGAGAGAGAGAGAGGGGTAGGAGAGAGAGTAGACAGGACAGAGGGAAGGAGAGCGGGAGGGGGAGGAGAGAGGGAGAGAGAGAGAGCAGACAGGACAGAGGGAAGGAGAGAGAGAGACGTTATGGGGTCTTTATATACTGCTGCATGAGTATGATAAGATGAACATAGTTGTGTATGATACAATATACTGTTGAAGTCGGAAGATTATATACACCTTAACCAAATACATTTAAACTCAGTTTTTCACAATTCCTGACATTTAATCTTAGTAAATATTCCCTGTCTTATGTCAGTTAGGATCACCACTTTATTTTAATGTGAAAAGTCAGAATAATAGTACAGAGAATTATTTATTTCAGCTTTTATTTCTTTCATCACATTCCCAGTGGGTCAGAAGTTTACATACACAATTAGTATTTGGTAGCATTGCCTTTAAATTGTTTAACTTGGGTTAAACGTTTTGGGTAGCCTTCCACAAGCTTCCCACAATAAGTTGGGTGAATTTTGGCCCATTCCTCCTGACAGAGCTGGTGTAACTGAGTCAGGTTTGTAGGCCTCCTTGCTCGCACACGCTTCTTCAGTTCTGCCCACAAATCTTCTATAGGATTGAGGTCAGGGCTTTGTGATGGCACTCCAATACTTTGACTTTGTTGTCCTTAAGCCATTTTGCCACAACTTTGGAAGTATGCTTGGGGTCATTGTCCATTTGGAAGACCCATTTGCGACCAAGCTTTAACTTCCTGACTGATGTCTTGAGATGTTGCTTCAATATATCCACATAATTTTCCTTCCTCATGATGCCATCTATTTTGTGAAGTGCACCAGTCCCTCCTGCAGAAAAGCACCCCCCACAGCATGATGCTGCCACCCCTGTCCTTCACGGTTGGGATGGTGTTCTTTGGCTTGCAAGCTACCGCCTTTTTCCTCCAAACATAACGATGGTCATTATGGCCAAACAGTTCTATTTTTGTTTCATCAGACCAGAGGACATTTCTCCAAAAAGTATGATCTTTGTCCCCATGTGCAGTTGCAAACCGTAGTCTGGCTTTTTTATGGCGGTTTTGGAGCAGTGGCTTCTTCCTTGCTGAGCGGCCGTTCAGGTTATGTCGATATAGGACTTGTTTTACTGTGGATATAGATACTTTTGTACCTGTTTCCTCTAGCATCTTCACAAGGTCCCTTGCTGTTGTTCTGGGATTTATTTGCACTTTTCGCACCAAAGTATGTTCATCTCTAGGAGACAGAATGGGTCTCCTTCCTGAGCGGTATGGCGGATGCGTGGTCCCATGGTGTTTATACTTGCATACTATTGTTTGTACAGATGAACGTGGTACATTCAGGTGATTGGAAATTGCTCCTAAGGATGAAACAGACTTGTGGAGGTTGTAACAATTGTTTTCTGAGGTCTTGGCTGATTCCTTTTGATTTTCCCATGATGTCAAGCAAAGAGGCACTGAGTTTGAAAGTAGGCCTTGAAATACATCCACAGGTACACCTCCAATTGACTCAAATGATGTCAATTAGCCTATCAGAAGTTTCTAAAGCCATGACATCATTTTCTGGAATTTTCCAAGCTGTTTAAAAAGTACAGTCAACTTAATGTATTTAAACTTCTGACCCACTGGAATTGTGATACAGTGAATTATAAGTGAAATAATCTGTCTGTAAACCATTGTTGGAAAAATTACTTGTGTCATGCACAGAGTAATGTCAAAACTTTAGTTTGTTAACAAGAAATTTGTGGAGTGGTTGAAAAACAAGTTTTAATGACTCCAACCTAAGTGTATGTAAACCTCCTACTTCAACTGTACATCCACATTGTGTGTGTGCTCACCGGTGAGCTGGCTGTTGAGGTTGACCACCAGGGGGTTGTTTCTCCAATCGAAGGAGGAGAGCAGGTGGAGGAAGCGAAGGAAACCTACCTGAGGAGACCTGAGAGAGGAGAGAGAAAGTGAGAGAGAAAAAAGTGAGAGCAAAAGAGAGAGGAGAGAAAGTGAGCGAGAGAGAGCAAGAGAGAGGAGAGACAGGAAGAGAGAGACAGAGGAGAGAGCGAGCGCAAGAAACAGAGAGATGGATAAACCACTTCTCCAATCTTTTTATCAAAGGACAAACATGACCAATAACAAATCTTAGAATAAGCTATTAAAAGCCCTATTCGCATGGGAATAGAATTACTAGAGAACGTTGGTTATGTATTTATTACCCCAGAATGTCCGCTATTCCAGAGGACGATTCAGACAGGATTAGATTAGTCCCCTGTAATTATTATTATTTTTCAATAAATTGACGGAAACCTGGAGGTTTTTTTTTCTAGGCATGAAGATATTTCAATAAGTCCAGGCGGCAACAGGCTACACTGATAAATCGAGCTTGGTTGCCAAGTTTCTAAACCATACCAAACCATCTTTGGTATAGTGTCGATGTAATACTTGAAATGAGGAAGCGTGATCATAATCATTAGGATATTTTAGTGATCCGCATTAGAAGACATCCTAAATGACCCCCAGCCTTCAAATGGGAGCTAAACAGCGCACTTGTACCTGATATGCATTTTTAGGATATGAATGAGAAAGTGAACTTGTCATTTCCAAACATTCAGCTCAGTTGTATGCTGCTTGTGATATTTATTTTAAAAAAAAGTTGTTTTTCATTTGTCATTATGGGGTATTGTGTGTAGAACAATTATAAACAATTTAATCAATTTTAGAATAAGGCTGTAATGTAACAACATTTGGAAAAAGTCAAGGGGTCACTGGCCCACAGCATGATGCTGCCACCACCATGCTTGACCGTAGGGATGGTGCCAGGTTTCCTCCAGACGTGACGTTTGGCATTCAGGCCAAAGAGTTCAATCTTGGTTTCATCGGCCCAGAGAATCTTGTTTCTCATGGTCTGAGAGTCCTTTAGGTGCCTTTTGGCAAACTCCAAGCGGACTGTCATGTGCCTTTTACTGAGGAGTGGCTTCCGTCTGGCCACACTACCATAAATGCCTGATTGGTGGAGTGCTGCAGAGATAGTTGTCCTTCTGGAAGGTTCTCCCATCTCCAAAGAGGAACTCTGGAGCTCTGTCAGAGAGACCATTGGGTTCTTGGTTACCTCCCTGACCAAGGCCCTTCTCCCCCGATTGCTCAGTTTGGCCGGGTGGCCAGCTCTAGGAAGAGTCTTCGTGGTTCCAAACTTCTTCCATTTAAGAATGATGGAGGCCACTGTGTTCTTGGGGAACCTCAAAGCTGCAGAAATGTTTTGGTACCCTTCCCCAGATCTGTGCCTCGACACAATCCTGTCTCGGAACTCTACGGACAATTCCTTCGACCTCATTGCTTGGTTTTTGCTCTGACATGCACAGTCAACTGAGGGACCTTATATAGACAGGTGTGTGCCTTTCCAAATCATGTCCAATCAATTGAATTTACCACAGGTGGACTCCAATCAAGTTGTAGAAACATCAAGGATGATCAATGGAAACAGGATGCACCTGAGCTCAATTTTGAGTCTCATAGCAAAGGGTCTGAATACTTATATAAATAAGGTATTTCTGTTTTCTATTTGTAATACATTTGCAAACATTTCTAAAAACCTGTTTTCGCTTTGTGATTATGGGATAGTGTGTGTAGATTGATGAGGGCAAAAAATATTTGATCCATTTTAGAATAACGTAACAAAATGTGGTCCTCTGTAGCTCAACTGGTAGAGCATGGCGCTTGTAACGCCGATTTGATTTGATTTAACGCCAGGTTAGTGGGTTCGATCCCCAGGACCACCCATACGTAAAAATGTATGCACGCATGACTAAGTCGCTTTGGATAAAAGCGTCTGCTAAATGGCATATTAAAAATTTGTAAAACGTCAAAGGGTCTGAATACATTCTGAATGCACTGTATTTGATGGTGAGTGGAAATGCCAACTGGATATTTCCGATTTATACACTTCCAGTAAAAAGTTTGGACACCTACTAATTCCAGGGTTTTTCTTTTATTTTGACTATTTTCTACATTGTAGAATAATAGTTTAGACATCAAAACTATGAAATAACACATATGGAATCATGTAGTAACCAAAGAAGTGTTAAACAAATATATTTTATATTTGAGATTCTTCAAAGTATCCACCCTTTGCCTTGATGACAGCTTTGCACACTCTTGGCATTCTCTCAACCAGCTTCATGAGGTAGTCACCTGGAATGCATTTCAATTAACAGGTGTGCCTTGTTAAAAGTTAATTTGTGGAATTTCTTTCCTTCTTAATGCGTTTGAGCCAAATCAGTTGTGTTGTGACAAGGTTGGGGTGGTATACAGAAGATAGCCCTATTTGGTAAAAAAACAATTCCGCATTATGGCAAGAACAGTTCAAATCATCAAAGAGTAATGACAGTCCATCATTACTTTAAGACATGAAGGTCAGTCAATACGGAACATTTCAAGAACTTTGAAAGTTTCTTCAAGTGCAGTCGCAAAAACCATCAAACGCTATGATGAAACTGGCTCTCATGAGGACCGCCACAGAAAAGGAAGACCCAGAGTTACCTCTGCTGCAGAGGATAAGTTCATTAGAGTTACCAGCCTCAGAAATTGCAGCTCAAATAAATGCTTCACAGAGTTCAAGTAACAGACATCTCAACATCAACTGTTCAGAGGAGACTGTGTGAATCAGGCCTTCATGGTCGAATTGCTGCAAAGAAACCACTACTAAAGGACACCAATAAAAAGAGACTTGCTTGGGCCAAGAAACACGAGCAATTGACATTAGACCAGTGGAAATCCGTCCTTTGGTCTTTGGTCTCAAATTTAAGATTCTTGGTTCCAATCGCTGTGTCTTTGTGAGAAGCAGAGTAGGTGAACAGATGATCTCCGCATGCGTCTTTCCCACTATGAAGCATGGAGGAGGTGGTGTTATGGTGCTTTCCTGGTGACACTGTCAGTGATTTATTTAGAATTCAAGGCACACTTAATCAGCATGGCTACCACAGCATTCTGCAGCGATACGCCATACCATCTGGTTTGGGCTCAGTGGGACTATCATTTGTCAACAGGACACCTCCAGGCTGTGTAAGGGCTATTTGACCAAGAAGGAGAGTGATGGAGTGCTGCATGACCTGGCCTCCACAATCACCCGACCACAACCCAATTGAGATGGTTTGGGATGAGTTGGACCGCAGAGTGAAGGAAAAGCAGCCAACAAGTGCTCAGCATATGTGGGAACTCCTTCAAGACTGTTGGAAAAGCATTCCTCATGAAGCTGGTTGAGAGAATGCCAATAGTGTGCAAAGCTGTCACCAAGGCAAAGGGTGGCTACTTTGAAGAATCTAAAATATATTTTGATTTGTTTAACACTTTTTTGGTTACTACATGATTCCATATGTGTTATTTCATAGTTTTGATGTCTTCACTATTATTCTACAATGTAGAAAATAGTAAAAATAAAGAAAAACCCTTGAATGAGTAGGTGTGTCCAAACTTTTGACTGGTACTGTACATCCGGTGAAACATCTGGCTCATTGTTCTCTGTATTTTTGCTCTCAAAAATCACACTTTTATAATAGCAAAAATAACCAAATTTGATCTTTTAAACCACATCAGGACATTTTTGAGGTCTGGGAAAATAAGAAAAATGTGGATTTTTGGGTGAAGTTACCCTTTAATTCAAGTGCGCACCAAGCAAGAAACTGGTGTTTAGCTGTGTTTTTGTAGGGCACATGTGATGGTAGAGTTTGTTAAACAAATACCCACTGGATTGATTAAAATAATCATGCTATTCTACCAGGTAAGCATATGCTACTTTGTAGTTAACATTTAATTGAGAAGGTTTTTGGGAAAGATACCAGAAGACGTTTTCACTAGCATCATCGCCAAAGGCTACAGTGCTACACAAAGTGTTAGACAAGTGCACTGCACACACACACATTCTCCTTGCCTCTTCAGAAAGTTGCAGGAAATACAAATCACTGATGCATTCTGTTCATGTCTTATGATAAACTTGGGCAAATTAATGAATTTTCAATACATTTAGTCGATTCCCTACTATGGTATTTTTTTTATATATTGTTGAATTCCATTTTAATACCTGGATTCCGTGAGGACGCTAATCATCATATTTGGACCAGAATGAGGCTCTCCACTACCTATTGTTCCTGCAGTGACCACCATCTTAATTTGAAAAAATATATAATTTATCTGCAGATAAAGCCTAGGCCTACCAGTAGCCTATGCAAATTAGGTAGCCAAATTAACAGCGCTCTCACCGATGCGATTCGGTAGGCTACACTGACTGACGAGACCAGAGTCACTCACTTTAGCGTCACTGTCTGGCAAGCCCCGACATCCTAGGATAGGAAACCTTGGAAATGTGTCCCGATACCATGGACATACAGTATAACCACGCTGCATGATTTATTAATGGTAAAGGGATATATATATATATATATATTTTTTTTTTAATCTTTATTTTAACAGGGTAAAAGAGACCTGGATCTCTTTTACGGCTGTGCCCTGTGTAAACATGTTGACATGTACAGTTTTAGACATACAGACAAGAACATTTCAAACATACAAAACAAAAACACAATTCAACAGAAACAATCACAGACAACGTCATATTGATCCTCCATAACATTTTTAAAATGGGCAAGGGACACCAGATGGGCAAGGGACACCAGAGTGTCTAACTTAAGTTGGATCTTCCATAAATAAGGTGCAAAGGAACTGAAGGCAGTCCTACCCAACTCTGTGGAGACCACAGGAGTCTCTAATGTAATCCACATCTGTGATCTGGTTTTAAAATTAGTATATCTAGTGGAAATTAATGATGATATATATGGAGGTAGTTTTAAAATAAGTGCTTTATAAATAAACAAGAGAGCATGTTGCTCTCGCCTCACAGATAGAGAGGCCCAACCCACATGTTGATATAGGATACAGTGATGAGTTTTGTAACTATCACCTGTGATAAACCTGAGTGCACAATGGTAAATAGCATCTAGTGGTTTTAATGTGTTTGCCGATGCATGCATATAGATAATATCACCATAATCTAAAACGGACATAAAAGTAGCCTGCACAATTTGTTTTCTATTTACGGAGGACAGACAAGCCCTGTTTCTGTAAAGGAACCCGATCTTGAATTTGAGCTTTTTTCCCAATTCAGTAACATGTTTTTTAAAAGAAAGCCTATCATCTAACCATACCCCTAAGTATTTATATACAGAGACCTGTTTGATTTGAGTACCATCCAAGCTAGTGATTACAAAAGTGTTTCTAATTGAGAGTTTAGACCTAGAAAAAAACATGACATTTGTTTTCTTAGCGTTTAAAACAAGTTTAAGCTGTAAAAGAGACCCCTGTAGTATCCTAAAATCAGACTCCAACTGCATTAAAGCTTGGTCCGCTGTTGGAGCAATAGAGTACATCACTGTGTCATCTGCATATAAATGGAATTTACAATATCTGACATCATCACCAATGTTGTTTATATAAAGTGAGAACAATAGTGGGCCAATTATTGAACCCTGAGGGACCCCTTTAAGTAACTGTAAGGGGTCAGACTTGACCCCGTCGACTATGACGGCCTGAGTTCTATCTTTAAAAGTCATAAAACCATCGACAGGCATCAGTGCCCAGTCCTATAGATGACAGCTTACTCAAAAGGATAGCATGGTCTACAGTGTCAAAAGCTTTTGACAAATCTACAAACAACGCAGCACAGTGCCTTCTATCATCTAAGGCATTTGCAATATCATTTACAACAAGCATAGTGGCCGATGTGGTACTGTGTTTAGATCTAAAACCAGATTGATTGGGGCTAAAAATACTGTTAACAGAAAGAAAAGATTGTAACTGTTTGTTGACTATAGATTCTAGGATCTTTGCATATAGGAGATCGAATTTATTCAGTCAGTTCGACACCTTTTATTAACTAGTCAACACTTGCTGTTCAGTTGTCAATCAAAGCACAGTAAATAGCGTGGCTGGCTATAGGAAAGATGTGAAAGAAAATAAATGACTGTGCCAGAAAACAATTAATTTGGCTAACTCAATGTTACCACTTACATTACATGGGACGTGCAAATTCACAAGCATCATGCTCTCTCCCTCCTCCGTGTAAAGATATTAAACTTCAACCAACCACAGCGCGCGCACACATTGTACCAGGAGGCGGGACAGACCGCCTGCGTTTCCCTGTCATCGCTCGCTTTGTGACCGACAGGCGCCTGTCCTATCAATAGATCGCTAGAAGATGCATATCATATCGTGGTCCTATGTAGCTCAACTGGTAGAGCACGGCGCTTGTAACGCCAAGGTAGTGGGTTCGATCCCCGGGACCACCCATACACAAAAATGTATGCACGCATGACTAAGTCGCTTTGGATAAAAGCGTCTGCTAAATGGCATATTATTATTATTATTATTATTATATTGAAACTTCTAAATGAACAGTAGCCTAGTTAATATGAAGTGGAAAAAGTAGCCGGCTGAAAATGAGTCTGTATCCGGATGATTAGCCGACGGCCGGAAAACACAAATGGAAAACACTGTATGATCTGGCAAAAAATACTTGAATCAGTTATAAAACCCATTGCCCTTTATGGTTGTGAGGTCTGGGGTCCGCTCACCAACCAAGAATTCACAAAATAGGACAAACACCAAATTGAGAATCTGCATGCAGAATTCTGCAAAAATGTCCTCCGTGTACAAGAACACCAAATAATGCATGCAGGGCAGAATTAGGCCGATACACGCTAATTAACCAAATCCAGAAAAGAGCAGTTCAATTCTACAACCACCTAAAAGGAAGCGATTCTCAAACCTTCCATCACAAAGCCATCACCTACAGAGAGATTAACCTGGAGAAGAGTCCCCTCAGCAAGCTGGTCCTGGGGCTCTGTTCAAACACAAACAGACCCCACAGAGCCACAGAACAGCAACACAATTAGACCCAACCAAATCATGAGAAAACAAAAAAATATTTACTTGACACATTGGAAAGAATTAACCTATTTGGCCCTAAACCGAGAGCACACTGTGGCAGAATACCTGAGCACTGTGACTGACCCAAAATTAAGGAAAGCTATGGTAAAGACTCAGTGAGCATAGCCTTGCTATTGAGAGAGGCCGCCGTAGACAGACCTGGCTCTCAAGAGAAGACAGGCTACGTTCCCACTGCCCACAAAATTGTGCTGCACTTCCTAACCTCCTTCCAAATGTATGAGCATATTAGAGACACATATTTCCCTCAGATTACACAAACCCACAAAGAATTTGAGAGGGAGGGGTTGTGTCAGTCATGTGGTACAGGAAGGTGAGAATAGAATGAGTGAGAGAGGGATATGAGCAGTAGGTAGCTAGTTACCCTGGAGGAGTGAAGGGGGCCGGCTGCAGGAAGAGGGACGCCACCAGCAGGTCAGCAGTGTCCTCTGTGATGTCATCGCTAAAGAGCTGCGCTCCCAGCCAGCGCTTGGCCAGGCGACACACCGCCCCGAAACATGGGTGGAGCTGCTGGAGCCTAGAACACACAACCACAGAGACATTAGGATATGTGTGTCTGTTTGAGAGAGAATGTGTAAAGCTATAGTGTTAGCTGAAAGAGAGAGAGCTCCAGTGTAAAGGTAATGTTAGCTGAAAAAGAGAGCGCTCCAGTGTAAAGGTCATGTTAGCTGAAAGAGAGAGAGCTCCAGTGTAAAGTTCATGTTAGGTGAAAGAGAGAGAGCTCCAGTGTAAAGGTCATGTTAGCTGAAAGAGAGAGAGCTCCAGTGTAAAAGGTCATGTTAGCTGAAAGAGAGAGAGCTCCAGTGTAAAGGTCATGTTAGCTGAAAGAGAGGGAGCTCCAGTGTAAAAGGTCATGTTAGCTGAAAGAGAGAGAGCTCCAGTGTAAAGGTCATGTTAGCTGAAAGAGAGGGAGCTCCAGTGTAAAAGGTCATGTTAGCTGAAAGAGAGAGAGCTCCAGTGTAAAGGTCATGTTAGCTGAAAGAGAGGGAGCTCCAGTGTAAAAGGTCATGTTAGCTGAAAGAGAGAGAGCTCCAGTGTAAAAGGTCATGTTAGCTGAAAGAGAGGGAGCTCCAGTGTAAAAGGTCATGTTAGCTGAAAGAGAGAGAGCTCCAGTGTAAAAGGTCATGTTAGCTGAAAGAGAGAGAGCTCCAGTGTAAAGTTAATGTTAGCTGAAAGAGAGAGAGCTCCAGTGTAAAGGTAATGTTAGCTGAAAGAGAGAGAGCTCCAGTGTAAAGGTAATGTTAGCTGAAAGAGAGAGATCTCAAGTGTAAAGATAATGTTAGCTGAAAGAGAGAGAGCTCCAGTGTAAAGGTAATGTTAGCTGAAAGAGAGAGCGCTCCAGTGTAAAGGTCATGTTATCTGATAGAAGGAGAGCTCCGCTTCAGTGTAAAGGTCATGTTATCTGATAGGAGAGCCCCAGTGTAAAGGTAATGTTAGCTGAAAGAGAGAGCTCCAGTGTAAAGGTAATGTTAGCTGAAAGAGAGAGAGCTCCAGTGTAAAGGTAATGTTAGCTGAAAGAGAGAGAGCTCCAGTGTAAAGGTAATGTTAGCTGAAAGAGAGAGCGCTCCAGTGTAAAGGTCATGTTATCTGATAGAAGGAGAGCTCCGCTTCAGTGTAAAGGTCATGTTATCTGATAGGAGAGCCCCAGTGTAAAGGTAATGTTAGCTGAAAGAGAGAGAGCTCCAGTGTAAAGGTAATGTTATCTGATAGAAGGAGAGCTCCAGTGTAAAGCTAGTGTCTGACCCGTGCAGGGTGCTGGTGAGTAGGGGCCGATGCATGGTGGCCATCTCCAGGGCCTGAGCCTCCTCGTTGTCCCTGACGATGAGCAGCCCCTCTGGACTAACACTCTCCCTCAGGACCTGAGGCTCCCGGTGGTACGCTACCTGGATCCTAAACGCCAAGCCATCCTGCACACACACACACACACTGTTAGTCAAGATGTCTGATAACAGTGCTTCCCTATACCAGTCAAATTCAATTAAATATATTTTATATAGCCCATTTGACATCTGCAGTAGTCACAAAGTGTGTGTCATGAATTAACATAATCTACCATCCCACCCACCCACCCACAGAGAGAGCAGGGCCTCTACCTTCCACACGTCCAGGTGTGTGGGACTGGGCTGGCATGGGTAGCGGTGGTGTTGGGTTAACAGTTCTCCCAGGCTGATGTGGAAGGCTGCTTTAATGTGGCGGATGGCCACTCTGTCATGAGGCCACTTCCCACTGCCCTCCATGTGGCAGATCACTACAACAGGAGGAGGCAAGAGAGAAGGGCTCATAGTAGAAAACACACACTACCAAAAAATAGCATACCTTCTCTGGATCCACAACAAAACATTTCTATTAGGTCTGTACGGTACCCACTAGGTTTGGGCAGTATACTGGGATATTTGACGGTACCATTGGTCTGGTTTTTCAAAAAAAAGAATTGCAGCTGTTTGCTAAATCACATCACAACAATGTGTGAGGGGATCAAATTACACATCTCTTGACATGGAGTGGGAGGGGTCATACAGCATACTAACTTTTGGGGTCACGTGACCTCTTCTACCTTTAGTTAGATAAGAGAGAGGGAGAAGAAGAGGAGTGAAAATGGCAGATGATCTGGTGTCAGACAAAAAATGCCACTGTCCCTTTTTGGATACATTTCAGCTTTAGAACCAACGAGAAAAGGAACCCAAGGATTTAACAGAGGTAATTTGCTAGATTTGACCGGAGGCAATAACAGCAAAAGGCGGCAATACATAAAATCTGCGCTCCTACCTCAGGGTACACCAGCCTCTGAACTATGCACGCCTCGAGGCCAAAAGCACTGGGGCCAACCCCATCTATATCACAGCTGACAATTATAGTTTTTTTTTTTTTTTAACTAGCTAAATACAAAAAGCACAGCACCCGGTGGAAGAAGTGAACAGACGCTTTTACCAAATACATAGCGAAATAAATGGTTTCCTTCCACACGGTGGAAAAGAAGGCCTTCAAAGATATTGGCCATATACCACACCTCCTTATTGCTGTATTGAATTGTTTAGTTATATTTTTTGCTTGTGTGTTATTGGCTACACTCTTTGCCCTTTTTAACTGTCCTATTTTGGTATAGCATGCAGCAACTGCAAGTACTGTAAATCCACAAGGCCTGAAGGTTCTCTCTCTCAATGTTGTTTTTGTTATTCAATATTTATCATCTTATTGCACTCAGGAAGTAATTTGTTTGTATTTAAAGAAATGCAATGCTATGCTCTTTGTTCATTTGTCGACATGCGGAGTTAACGCCTTGAGTCCCATGCCATCATAGAGTTTTAGTGCTTCCAAAATAAACGTTTTATAAGAAGGTTGAGATTGTTTTATTGCCTGCTTACTGTGTGCGTTCATTGAAGCATGTTGAGCATTAACCTGCATATTGAGTTGGATTATAATCCTAAATGGTAGGCTGCAAGCAACAGGCATGGTTGTGGTTGATGGGAAAGTCAACCATAACGGAATCATTTATATTCTATCCATATCGCAAATACAATGCCGCCTCACTGTGGCACATTGTGTTGACGAGAATGTATGAACCCTAATTTCAGTAACAACTAGGCCTAGAAAAGGCCAATCTCGCCACATTGTGGCACGTACATAAGGCAGGTAGCATCGTAAGTGCAACACATGAACGCAAGGCACTGATGCGTGCACACCCACTGGTGCACGCACGCACTCCCACTGGTGGGGCAGACAAGAAATGGTGAGCGGTACCTTTGACAGGGGTGATGTACACAGGGCAAGGTTTGACCTCCTGGGGCACCAGTGACCGGGACAACTGCTCTCTGTCAAAGAACGAGTAGTCCAGCTTCAGGGGCACTGGGGGGAACACCTGTGTGGTGGAAGAAGAAAGCACAAATCAAACATTGAAATTATGGACCATCTCCAACTCGCTACTTAACGTCTGATGCATGGAGCTGGAGGAAGTGACCTACCTGAAACAAACAACAATTGGTAAGAATGTTGCTACGTTTTTTTTGGGGGGGGGGGTCTAGGTAGGGTCCAGTAGCTAGGGGGGTTACCTGGGTGTAGCGCAGGGCTGGGTGGGCACCCTGCACTGAGGTGATGGATAGGGGCAGCCCCTTCAGCCTCCACAGCTTCCTGCTTAGGTCATCATATGACTGAACCACCTTCAGACTCTCCTCCTCACCCGTACTGCACACCTGGGGAACACACACACACACAGAGTTTTAACAGATTTCAGATGTCAAAGTTTGGATGGAGGGTGTCGTCAACCCACACAGCAGCACTCTGCTGGTAAAATGCACTACTACAAAAAAATCTCAGAACTACCTCGCGTCCCACTTTGATGACATCATCCAGCATCCCTCCAATGTATCTCACACAGGATTCTGGTATATCTGCATGACTGAGGAGAAGAGAAAGGAGCCTCTCAGACCTGCTTCTAACAGAACTTCCCATACAACTAACAGTACATCATACAAGGCAAAGATGGTGGAAAGTTCTCAGAGGCTTTGTGTGGAAGCAGGCATTTTGATGAACAGCTCAATTGTATTTCCACAACATACAGCCTACTCCTTCCCTCCAGTGTAGGAGAGGGTAGTGGTCCCTAACCACTGATTCAGGGTCAGATCTTTCTTCATCCCACAAATGGTTATGGTTAAGATTGGAGGTAGGCTGATCTGATCCTAAATCTGTGCTTAGGAGTGGTGAGGTACGTACAGCTGCAGCAGGTGTGTGATGAGCTGGCGTGGGACCAGTCTCTTCTGACAGGTAGTCTCTCCCTCCCACACCACAGCCTCCGTGATGGCCCCGTCCTGGAACCGACGCAGCTCAGAGCGAGACCCCCACAGCTGCCTGAACTCCTCAGCCTGCACAAATACACACACAGCAGTGAGAATGACACACACACACACATTTGAAAACATGGTATTGAGAGTTACCACAAACACAGAGAGGGAGAGAGAAAGAGACAGACACACACAGACCTTGGGGCTATCGGCTGGGGGTCCTCTCTCCAGTACAGAGGCCGCCTGTTCTGGGTTGAGCAGCAGGCCAAAGGACAGGGGTGGCTGGGCCTTGTGCTTCGGAGCTTCACTCTCCACCGGCCACTGCCATAGCAAACATACACCGTTACACACACCAACCAGACTACCCACTATGAATCTTACAAAGTAAACAGTTCTCTCTAAATGTACTGGATCAGTCCATCCCAGTCAATAGACCTGCATTACACACACACACACAACCCGTCTCAACCACACACACACACATTTTACACAGTTAAACAAAGGAACACAAACCATTCAGTATTATTTAACATATGGAGACCAAAGAAGGCAGGAGAATGCTCACCTCAGGGTCAGGGGTCAGTGAGTGGGTGAGGAGGCGGACCCTTTGGCCCAGGCCTCGTTGCAGGAGGGAGAGGATAAAAGGGAGCGCGGTGAGGACGTAGTTTCCACTGTGGTCCATGAGTTCACTGAGGAGGTTGAGCTTCTTACAGCAGGACTGCAGCTTCACCAGCTCACACAGCCTGATGACAGACAGACACACAGAAGAAGAGAGAAGGAAAGAGGGAGGAAAAATAATGGGGGGAGGGGGGGGTCAAAGTTAATACAAGAGGAGAGGATAATAAATGTGTGTGCGCTAGAGTGCGTGTCCGAACAAGGCCTTACTGGAAGACGTGGTCGCTGGTCCTGATCATGGGTTTGGGGGTCATGAGTAGGGCATGGAATCCATCCACGGTGGGGTCGTCCCAAAACTGCAGCGACAGAGAAGCCTCGTGCTGCACCTGAGAGCCAAACAAGGTACAGTCAACCAATCAGAGGGCATGTTACTGCCATCCAGACAAATCTCAAGCCACCTTGGCACAGGGCGCTCACCTGTTTGTAGGTGCAGGCTGTCATGTCAGCACACATGTTGAGGTGTCCAGAGGGGTCAACAAAAACAACCTGGAAAGCAGTGTGGAACTCGGCGAGAGAGGGCTGAGGGAGGGAACGAAAGAAAACAAGGGGGAGAAGGAAGAACACGTGAAAAATAGAAAAGCACTCTTTCCCCATTAAAAAATTCCCCCCAAAACTAGCTTCTGGTATTTGTTGCATTAGTCCATTGTTGATAAAATCCCAAAATGTTTTGCATGTCAGCAATCGAGTTTAAGATATAAAATGCAAAATACAGAAATATAGCCGGTATGACGCATTTTGCATCATATGATGTCATTTGGACTAGTCCTGCCTCACCGCTGTTGAATCTGGGCCTTTGGCTAGGGTAATTCCATTCTCCGTCAGGTCGGTTAAAGCTGAGTTTGAGAAGAAAGGGATGACAATGAGACCGGCTCAAAACAGAGTAGTGATGACATTACCTATATAATGCCTCACACTTTTCAATAACACCAGGTACGGTATTTATGGTAAATGCGATGTTACTCCAACAGTAGGAGTAGACAGACAGGTAGGAGATGAGACCTCATGCGTCTTACCCAGAAAGTGCAGGCTGTTGCGGAGCAGCTGGTAGGCTGTCATGGTGTTGCTGACTCTGTGGGAGGAGAGGAGGTAGGCCAGAAGCATGGAGCCCAGGAAACCACTGAAACACCCTGCGCCCTGTGGGAGGAGAGAGAGTAGTTTAAGCACTGGGTTCATTCAGCCTGGTAAAACTCATGATAGAGAGGGAGCGGGTGGTGGTACAGGGGCCCATACCTGGTCCAGCTCCCTCTGTCTGAGCCACACTTTGAGCAGGGCCACTCCCTCTGCAAAGGCGGTGCACTGGGAGCTCACAGCGGTCAGGAACTGCAGGTGGGCCCTGGGGAGCATGTCCCCAAGAACAGAGCTGTTGTAGTGGGGAGTGGGCGGCTCACTCGTCTCTGCACAAACATACAGACAGAAAAGGAATGGATGAGAACATAGACTTCAGTCTGATTTAAATGTGAAGTATCTCTCCAGTGCACAGCTGTAATTCAGGTTAGTGTACTATCTCCCCCAACAAGGAACCTTCATCCCTTTTAACAATCGGTTTTTCATTAATATTCTAAAATCAGAAGGGACCTGTATTTTAGGAAACAATATATCGAAGCTGCTTGGCTTGGAGTTGAGGCCCTCACCTGGCTGAGAGCTCCCCAGGCCAGTGTACCAGTCGGTGCGGATGTTGTTCCTCTGGGGGTGGAAGCGGCTGGGCTTGAAGAAACCCGGTGGAGGGCAGGCGTGGAGTCGCAAGGTGAAGCTGGAGGAGTCTTTGCCTGGAAAAGGGGCCATTTCATTGAATCATCATTGACACACACAAAACAATATGTTGTGAATAGGTGCTGGATAGGTGCTTGCCGACAACCATATGGGTTGCATGATAAATCCAACCATGCTAGGCTTTGAGTTAAGGAAAACTGTGAAATGAAAGGTTTAAGCCCTACAACAATTGGCCCTAGAATGAACCAACCGTTGCTGTCCCAACCTTCTGTAACAGATGCTAGGTACCTGGAGGGGAGAGCAACAGGAGGGGGCGGAGGCGGTTGCCATGGAGACATGAGTACCGCATGGCCCCGATGGCGGGAGAGGCGGCAAGATGTTGTGCCAGTCCTGCCAGGTAAAGTGCCCTCTTCCGTGGGTACCTCTGGTTTAGTGCATCTTTAGGGTGCAGGACATCCTGAAAAAAAAAACATGAATAGACGCATGTTGTTATTACTGTTGTACGACCAAATTATTACTCTTATTGTTCAGAGTGAATAGTTTGGCGTTACGTACAGCAGGAATAGCGACTGCCAGATCAACTGAGATGCCTGGTTTGGTGCAGGTGCCCAGTGGGTAGCTGCCCATGATGGTAACAGATATGGGCGGTGCCATGTGAAACTTGCCCTTGGCTGCCTTTGGCACCAAGACAAAGGGGACCTTCACGCCTCCTGACAACCATGACAAGTCACTTAGCTGGGGAAAGGGCGAAAGAGAGATCAATAACATTGAAAAACATTTTGGAGATCATTGAGGCCAGACCAAATACAACAAGTTGACATTATTTCTAATCCCCTGGACCCACAGTATCACTGACATACCTCCACTTCAGGAGTCTGTGGTACAGTCTGGAGCTGCTCAGTGACATTCTGGATGAAAGAGTCAATCAGCTGCTTCCTGTGCTCACTCAAGGCAACCTCCTTCAGCAGCTCCTCCATCTGTTGGCAATGGCAAGGAGACCGAGGGAGATTAACAAATGTATATGCATGCATAGGTCCATTGAGACAGCTGTCATGTTGCAAAGTGACCGTGTGGTCCCCCCTTCATCAGAAATACTGGAATGTAGGCGTGTATGTACACACACACAATGTCAATGTTCTTGAAAGCCATTGATTTGTGAATTAACCACCGAACCCCACCCATACATAACCCCCGTCTCACCTGCATCTTGAGCAGGCTGCAGTGGAACAGGCTCTCGGCCTCCTTGAGCTGGTTCAGTTCATCTGCGGTGGGAGGTTTGTAGAGCTCACCGCGCGACAGCTTCACCGGACGGAGGAACCCGTCCTGGACCACCTCGGGCTTACCCCTTTTGGCCCTGGTCGGGCCCTCATCTTCCTCATCGTGAAAAGACTCTGATTGCTCTATCTTTGAAACGTGAGAAACATGTGTAACGTTAACACACATATGATTGATTATGTTGTGGTGCGAGATCTAGCTAGCAAGGTAACTAGCGATTAGCATCAAGTTAGCTAGATGGTGGATATAAAAGGCAAGGGCTAGTTATAGTTAGCTAAATAAGTTGGACTAGTTACAGATACTCGTCATAACTCAAATTCCAACAACCTTTCAAATACTATAGCTCGCTAAATACTATATGTAATACTAAGCAAATAGCCTACGCTAGCTAGCTAATGTTACCATTAGCCACACATTAAGTGTTTACAGTACACATGTAATGAGATGCTAACGTTAGTTAGCTGGCAGCTAGTTACATTTTTTTTTTTTTTTTACTAGTACTAGTTACTAGTACTAGCTGTCATTGCCTCATGCTAAAAATAAAAAGGTAACACTATATATTGTAAGTTACCTGCTCCTCAGCTGTTGCTTTCATCTTTTATTTCTTAACTGGTTGTTCAATAAGCAATAGTTTCAATGCCATGCATATGACAACTTCTAGTTGTCGGCACAATTCTCACGTGGGGACAGGATCAGTTAAACCCTAGCGCATACGACACACAAAAGTGTCTTATGATTGGCTAATTTCCGTGTAACTCCGCCCATTTAACTCAAGATGCGTTGCATGAGCATTTACGGGTTGATGCAGAGAGGTCCAACTGAGCGGAAAACTTATCTCCCTCCAGCAGGTGGCCTTTTTTCGCCAAGCAAGTATGGAGGTCGATGAGGGTCAAATTTGGTCAACAAAAAATGTATGGTTTATTTGCTACGTGAGGTTTATTTGATCGAATAGACGTTTCGTAATGCTTAAGTTATGAGTGTACTGATATAAGTAGGACACTTGACATCCCTGCAACTTTGAGAAAAAACACTATAATCAGAGTTGTCTCGAGATGGCGATGTATATTCATGTCATGAGGCTAGTAACATAGCATTTCTCTCCATTGAACACAGGCGGTTGACGTCAACAACCCTCATCGAATATTCTAAAAGGGATTACAATAATAAAATGTATCCAATCCAAAGAAAGGATAGGCGGGAGCTAGACAGCCGCCTTGCCTTTGTGGACAACGACTCCCATTATTAGGGCAGAGAAACGTATCTTGTCAGTATATCCATAATCTTTGGTCAATACTACCCACTATTTACAGGAGCTTTAGTGCTGGGCTGGAACAAAAGCCAACAACTCTCCAGGACCAGAAGTGTATATAATACAGGACAATAAACTCTACCAGAGATACAATCTATTACTTTTTGTGTGTTTTATTGTTACATACACCAGATAGGTGAAGTGAAATGTGTTGTTTTACAGGGACATCCATAGTAGTACAGCGCCACTGGAGCAAATTAGGGTTAAGTGTCTTGCTTAAGGGCACATCGACAGATTTGACACCTCGGGTATTCAAACCAGCGACCTTTCGGTTCCTAACCCAACACTCTAACCGTTAGGCTACCTGCCGCCCACAATCTTACCAGAGTAAATAAACAATAAAGAAACAAGTGAATTATAATTATGCATTGACTATGGGGTGCGTTCTCTCACATTTCGACCAGAATTATCTGTCCAGTTTGCAGCACTGTTGTGGATCATGCAGCTACTGGTAGTCATGTTTGGCATGACATCTTTATTTAGGTGCTTTTCTAGTATAGCAGACCAGTTAAAACACTGATAATTTGAGCTTTTCAGAAGAGAACCCAGATGTCATGAGCCACTCATCGATGGCTTTCTCATTGTTGTCCACATCCTCTTGCCAGTCCAGATGCCACCGCAGGTTTGCGATGACTTGGGTATAATTATCACCAAGGCTCTTGCGCCATGCAGCAAACTGTTGCTTATTGTAGAGACGGACTGCCTTAGAGACTTGAGGGTAGTCTACTGTGCTGCGCAGCAGCTTGTCCAGGTGACGACACACATCAGGGAATTTGGATGCCACATTGTGAAGCTCCTCTTTGTCCACTGTTAGGTCTGTCAGGGGAGAGATATTAAAAGTGTTAAAAGAGGAAAGGCTGGTTGCAGAGATTTCATCTACGTAGACCCTGCGGCTGAGGTAGGGCTGCACCTGACGGAAAATTTGGACAAAGGTTTTAGTGGGGAATGACATCTAAATAATGCCGAAAGTTATGTGGTTTTGCTTAAAAACCCCATACCAAGTACCCACAGTAGTGGTACTGTCCCAAATCATCTTTATCCACTAAATAAAATGATTAGATATTGGACCGTGTGTGTCATTTACATACTGTGATGTTGAGGGATAAAAAACAAACCCTAAACCCTCTTTCCTCCAGTAGTAATCTTTCAGTGGGGGGTGGAAGGGACTCACCGAATAGCTGCGGGGGGACACTCAGACCATCTGCGTAGGTAATGTACTTCCACCGGCCCTCCCTCAACATATAGGTGGAGGCGTTGGCATTGCAGCCGTGGTATTCACTCAATACCCAGTCTGGGCGAGTCCGGGCGGGCCGGGCTGCAGATTGGGACAGCAAAGGCAGGAGAGAATGACCACTAGTGCCACCTGGCACCGCTACGCCTGCCATCTCTGCAAAAATATATGTGGAATGGAATCAGTTTACTGACCAGGACGTGTAACAACCCGTTGAATCCCTCCATCATCCAGCCCCGTGCTTCTGACCCTGAGATACTCCTGCACTTACCCAGCACAGTGGGATATATGTCCACCAAAGACACTGGCTGACTCAGCTGCAGGCCAGACTTCACCCCAGGCCCCATGGTGAGCAGGGGGATATGGGAGCTGCCCTCAAACATGGACATCTTGTAGAACTGTCGGTGCTCCATGGCCAGGTCACCGTGGTCAGATGTGAAGAGCAGCACTGTGGTGTCCAGCAAGCCTGTGTCCCGCAGAGCTGAGATCACCTGGCCTAGAAGGACCACAGAGAGCAGCACAGCCACAGAATGGTTAGTGCTATCTGGGATCCTTGGGACGTCCCTACCCTGAACCCTAACCATAACCCTTACTTAACTTTAACAATTTTAAATTTAAACTTCAATGGAGTAGGGACGTCCCAAGGATTCCAGATAGCACGGACCGCCACAGAATGAGTGTCTGTTGGGATTATTTTCAAGGGGTAGTAGAAGTGTGTAACGTAAGAGACTACTTATTCAACTTCCAAACTACATTTGTACACAAGGTTTTTTGCAAGAATGTTGTAGACCTAATCAATGTATGAAAACTGATTTGAGTTGCACAAGGTTGCAGAACATCCTATGGTTGGTGGCTGCTTGGCTGGCACGTGGCTAGATGTTTTACTACCACCAGCAATAAATCTGCAATAAACCAGTATAACACCAGTAGCTGCTAAACTGTCCATTGCTGAACACCACATTCTGCAACACTGTAAAACATTGTAAGGATGTTCACATTTGGCCAACCACGAAATTTCAGACACACAAACAATTAAGTCACCACTAACCCAGCATGGCATCTGTTTCAGCACACATAGCATAGTAGAAGGCCCGTATCTTTCTGACCTCCTGCTCTGTGAAGTTCCCACTGCAGTTCTTGGTGAAGGTGGAGTAGTAGTCCACAGGGTGCATGTCGGACAACGGCAGCCATTTTGGAACAGAGATTAATTCAGGCATCACCTGTGTGGACAGCAGCTCCTTATTACACATGCTGTGAAATGGAACACAAGCGCACACTGCAAATGGGAATCAATCAACAGGGTTTGACAATCTAGAGTAAAGTTGAATGCTTCTGAAGATGTATCGAAATTTGGTTAGCACAGTTAAAACAAAGCTAGACTGCTAACATGACACAAGACTCCTTTAAAATTGTAAATAGGAACTAGCAGTAATACTTCTGGAATGGCCTGAAGAGAACGTGCCTTTTCGAGCCAGTAAGGAGAGGTGCGGAAGGTGGACCCCCCAGCGTTGGGCCCCAAGGAGTCTGTGACGTAGGGGTGTGGCAGGTTCAGGCCCAGGTAGAGGGCGAAAGGCTGGGAGAGAGGCGCAGCTTTGTGGCGGATCCACTGGGTGGCAATGTCTGTGGTTCTCCAGTCCTTGGTCATGACTCTCGTTGTGGACGCATCCCCAACCAGGTCTGTTACTGGCCGGCCCTCTTGCCGCAGAAGGAAAGGCACATCTCGCGTCCATGCCTCCACACGATTACTGGAGTGGAAATACACACATCATAGAAACGTGACGTCGCCAAACGAGACACATGAGGAAAAAACATAGGCCAAAATAAAAGACATGAGTCAGAAATCAAGTGACAGTTCACATTAGGGGAAAATGAGACTGAATAGAACACTTCCATGCACTAGCCTATCTATCTACTGTAAAGTCTCTGCATCTCTTAGCATTACAAGACTGGCTACAAGTGAGCTCCCCGTTCCCTGTAAAATGGTGCCGTCAGTTCTGTTATAAATTCATGACTCACTGCAGTGCCCACCCACCTGACAGAGTGACTTCCTGAAGTGTAGTCCAGCTTCCCAACACTCAATGTGTTATAGCCATTCTGTTGGAGCAGGTCCATCCACGTTGTGGCATTGGGGTCCAGGCACTTATCATTATTCCAGGACTCAGTTAAATGGACAAAGCGACCACTCCACATAGCTGAGAAAAATAATCAACATACAACAGACTGTGAAATGTTTCAATCCATGGACCTATGGTGGTCATTGGATTGAAATACAGTTGCAGTATTGTTTGAGTTTGAATACAATTTGAGCTGGCTACATTCTATTAATTGCATTCCTTTGTACTGAACAGGTCTGTTACAAACTATTGGAATCGGAGTCATCCACCAGCGTTATGCAATTCAACTTCTTGTTATGTATGTTGTCAATGGTTCGTAACATGGCCCACATTATTGACCAATGATCTGCTGTTACCTTGAGGTCTTCCATACAAATGCACACTGTGAATGGTTAGAATCATAAAATCTAACATCTTACCTGCTCTTGAGGGACAACAGATTGGAGAATTGGTGTAGGCATTGAGGAAGACAGTGCCTAGCTCCCGGAGGTAGTTTAAGTATGGTAACTGGACCACCCTACTCCCAGGGTCAAAGGTCAGCCGCCCATCCTTCAGCAAAAGGGAAATAATCCTTTATCCCTTCCTTGAGGTAGTAACAGAGCATCTACTATCTCTCTAGTAATAATCACTGATCCATGACTGATTAGATAGATAACTGAAAACATCCCACCCTCCAACCTTATCAGAGCAGTGATAAGTTAACTAGGTATATTCAAACTCACTGGTGGCAACAATTTATCATCACTCATCAGCAAAGTTTAATTTAAATCTAATCCACACAATGTCATGAAAATGTTCTGTAAAACGAATCAAAAACGTTTACAAAATGTAAAAGTGGCAGTACTTACAAATGCATCAGACATCACCATCACAATGTTGGGTCTGAAGTTTGTGCTACGATTTTGGCACATACATTGTCCATGAGTTTGGGAAAGTATAAGGAGAACTAACCATGTTCCATACATCGCATACATCAGTTTAAAAATTATAATTATTACGACCTTAACTGCTGCTTGACGAGGGGCATTTCTTCAGGGAAGTGACTGTGTCGTCCAGTCACAAGACATCTACTCATCAGCCATAATTTCGACCAGGGCTTCTTAACTGCAGCAAATCAATTTTCACGTTTGTTATTGTTCCGCAATAGTCACGTGGTGTTTCCATTGCAGTACTAGGTTTCTAGCAGCAGATGGTGACATCTGGTTTCATTCAGTCATACCATTGAAAAAATGGCCTTTCTGCCTCAGTCTGAAAGCCCACATAGGGCCTACTGCACCACCATGGAGCATCAAATATCTGATTAGTTGGGAAAAGTGAAGTTAGCTCTAATAAATAGTTAATTTATACAAGTTTATAACAAATGTCTACTTTCATTGTATGTAGAAATCACAGGGAAATGACACATTTTAAAAGAAATCGAAAAATTAAAACGTAATTTAATCCCAACAATTTGTATATTTCTTTCATTCTTAAAGTAATTTCCATTCTTTTGTCTTCAGTAATTGACCTTCCAGTAATTGACCTTCCCAAAGTTCTTGAGTTATGGCCCAGTTGGTTCAAAGCAGTGGGTTGACCTGAGGGTCTGGTCCGGCCGTCAGCTACTCCAGGGGAAACAGTGGCACAAGCAGATTGTTCCGTATGGGCTTCAGCTCTGCACTGTGCTCTGGCTGGGCTGGGCATCCTTTGAGGGGGCTGAAACGGGTCCCCTGGGGGCCTTTGAGAGTGACCCCTGAGGCCAGCTCCATGCTGTCCAGCATCAGAGTGCCAGAGAAGGGTACAATCCCCTCACTGTTGCCCCCATGTGGAATACTCCTTCTAATTGCCAGACAGACTGTCCCAGTCAGGGCACTTCTCCTCTGGGCCCTGGATGGGCCTTTGTAGTTGGTCAAGGGTTTCATTGCCTTTGTCTGTGTGGTGTGTTGTTTCTCACGATTCTGCCCTGCTGCCAGTGGACCTCCGGTTCTCCATGGATGGCGCTTTGAGGGACTGGCATCCAGCACCTCATATTGGGGCCAGACACAATGGCGTGGAAGAGAGGCAAGATCCAGTCTCGGGATAGCTGGGAAGCCTCCAAGCTGAGGACGGAGCTTAGCACTTTGGACAGAGCTGTTTGGGAATGTCTCTACATACTCTTCTTCCTCAGTCACTGAGCTGTTCAGAGAATGACTTGGAGACTGCAGGTAGTCCTCTGTAGGAGTGGTGGGTGATGAGTGATGCTGCCTCCTCGTTCCTCCCTCAGTTATGGGTGGGGGGGCAGGGGATAGTTTGAAACCCCTAAAACCTGGTGGCTCTCTTGCTTTTCTGTCTTCTCTGGAATGCTTGAGTGAGGAACTAAGCTGGCTCACTGTGTGAGTCCTGTGATTGGCCCTATGACCTGTCCGTCCAGCCACCTCACCAACTGGAGTGTACCTCTGGAGGAAAACACCAGAGATGTGTTAGATTACATTATTATGATCAAATTATTAGCTTTACAGTATTAGCTTTACACCGGCCACTCACCAGTAAGCAAGCAACTAGCTTCAAATAATATATTTCATGGAATTTTCTTATTTTACTATTTCTACTTCCTTTACTACTACATATTTACTGCTAGATATATCCTTGACATTTTGGGTTATTTCCAGGTAGAATTGTCAGAGCGGAAACACAATGCATCTTGATGGAGTATTGTTCAGAGCTACCTGTAGGGGAGAAGGGTATTTTGTTGGCTTGGCTTGCAGAACAAGCACACAGCCTTGTGCCCAGGAGTCTGTAGTTGACGGCAGGGGCTCTGAATCTTCTGCCCAGGAGGGGGCACTGTCTGGTCCCTCCCCCTCATCCTGGACCAGGAACTGCCACTCCAGAATCTGCACCAAAGAATCTCGGGCCCAGGACGCTGTGAATGGCTCTGGCTAGAGAAAATACATTTCATTGACAGTCCCGCAAAGAATTATCAGCATTATTGGTGAGAGGATAGAAAAGTGAAATTGGTTGCCAGCCAGATTGAATCAGGGCATTTGATCCTCTGAGCAAAGGAAGGCACTTATTGTAAAGTGAATTGATTAAATCAATAGTATATATACTACCCACCTTAGACTGATAAGCACATAAACTGAAGGATTCTTAATTGGCTACAGTACATTTATTAATACTTGTTTGAAACCTAATTAGAATGTCATCTCTGCACAGTGATTGTATCAGACTACTGTCTGACACAGGTAGTCTCCACCTGTGAACGTAAGGCCTCACCTGTCTCTGGAGGTACACAGTGTAACACTTCTCCATGACATGGTTCATGAATTCATACAGGACCTCCACCACCACCTCCTCTCCTTCCTCCTGCCCTAGCATGGACACCCAGTTGGACTCTGTCAGGCGGCCCGGGACAATGTCCACCACATCTGGACTCTGGGAAGGAGGAGGGGGGGGTGCAGGGGCAGAGTTGGTGCGCCCCTTCTCAGCACGGGACTTTGATGCAGCGCGGGACATCTTTGTCGGGAGCCTGAGTTAACACATAGGCTAAATAGAGAATGATAAAAATATGAATTAGGGCTGTACTAGATTAGAATTGCGTGAGTGCAGCAACTGAACAAAGAGATAGGCTATTATTGATTTTGCAGCCATTCAAAGCAAGTGACAGTTTAGCCATCACTTTTAGTTATAGTTCGGGTTCAGTATCTTGTCCTTTTCAACTCTCACTCCCTCTAAAAGTACTAGATTAATTTGTAAATTTCTGTTTCATGGATGGAGTTACAATATGCCTTCTTGGTGGGTTTTTTACTTGGGGAGAGTTGTCACTTTCTTGAGACACACCAGACTGTCTGCAGAGGGCAACAACAACACAGCCACAACACCTTGTATTGGACAAGAAGTTAAACATCTTTGAAGCTGCCTGTAGTGATTGAACAACCTAGCCAAGTGAAGCAATGCATCAACAAACATAAAAGGTTGCTTGCTAATCTAGATAACAATACTTAGGTACCTTAAACAAAGAGCAGGCTGAAAATCTTTGTCTTCAATGTGATGGAAGAAAAACAAGAAGACACGTCGCTCCCCTACTTTCTTTGCACCCAAAAGGACAGGATTGCTTAGCAACTGAAAACGCCACTACTTTTCTTGTGTACACAGAACGTATGACGTTTCACGCAAAGGTGGAGCTGTCACTATGGCTGCAAAGGACGCGCAATGGTAATCTCCACCTTGCTAAATGAAATGCAATCTAGCTAGGACTTGTTGATGAATGAATAACATAACAAAGAATACTGCTAACCGTATTTATCTAGTGAATAGCAGAATCTACGATAGAAGCTAATGTTAGTTCACAATACGGTATTCTGATCGACAATACTTACCTTAGGCTTGCTAGCAGCAACTAGCTAACGTTACAGTAGCTAGCTAGCGTTAGAAAGCTGAATAGACTTAAAGGCAACTTTAGCTGACTATTTGCATGTTTGCTGAATTGCATTGAGCTAACTAGTTCCTCATTAATGTAACGTATCTGTTAGTTAACATAGCCGACAATGGACTGGCCGTTAGTTAGATAGCTTCTAACGTCTTCCAAATTCATATGAGTGTAGAACTGATTAGCTATACAGCTAGCTTGATTCAAGTGCCCAGTGTGGTAGTGGTCAAAAATCCCATTTGGATGACTAACGTTAGCTGGCTAGTAGGTCAGCATGTTCGCTGAACTTGTTCATAGTGAGAATGAGAGTCTTCACGTTGGGCAACATTATGTTGCTGCTATTGTGTTCTTGTGAATGACAATAGGGCGGCAGGTAGCTTAGTGGTTAAGAGCTTTGTGCCAGTAACCGAAAGGTCGCTGGTTCTAATCCCCGAGCCGACTAGGTGAAAAATCTGTCGATGTGCCCTTAAGCAAGGCACTTAACCCTAATTGCTCCTGTAAGTCGCTCTGGATAAGAGCGTCTGCTAAATGTAATATATTTTACCCTACCTCTTTTCCCACATCTCATTCACTCACCCAACTCACAGACACAGCGACACACACACACTGCGAACTAACTGCAATATTAACCAACTTTATTTCTCATTGTTTCCCCAGAATTGTCATCATTAAGGACACTATTTGCACCACCCTCCCTATTTACCCAATTCAACTGATAAGATTGAAAGATGTACCACAAAGAGAAGAGCATCCAGATCAAAAGCAGTGCATCTGCGCTGTACAACAACCTGAGTGTGCTGCGCATAGCCCCACGGAGCTTGACCTATTTCACAGTGGTACACGCCAACATGGTCAACATGGTCAGTGCTTCTTGGGATGGACTCAACTACTCCCATCGCCAGCTGCAGTCCAAAGAGGCCAACGTCACTACCAGCTCCTCCCTCATCATGCAGGTAGAGTGTTATTAGTGCTGGCCAAGAGGGTGTCAGTGGATCATGAATGATATGGGTCTACTTTCTTCTTTCATGTCCATGTTAGATAGACATGAGTTGGTACAGTATGTAATCTTTTGTTGAAGGGGAAATTTGCTGTCTCTCCTTTCAGGCAGCCTGGTGTGTCCTCCCATCACGTGACATCCTAGTGCTCACTTCTCAGAAAGGCATCCAGGTGAGTGGATTGTGTGTGTGTGTGCGTGTGTCACAGGAGGTTGTTGGCACCTTAATTGGGGAGGACAGGCTTGTGGTAATGGCTGGAGTGGAATAGGTGGAATGGTATCAAATACATCAAAGACATGGTTTCCGTGTGTTTGATGCCATTCCATTCACTCCTTTCCAGACATTATTATGAGCTGTCTTCCCCTCAGCAGCATCCTGTGGCGTTTGTGTGGCAGTGGCCTTATACAATGGTGTCCGCTGTGTCTGCCTGTTGCTCAGGTATTGACAGCTGTGTCTGTGTTCCAGATGTATGAGTCGGATGGATCCATAATGGTGTACTGGCACGCACTGGAAACGCCTGAGACCCCAACAGGTAAATTCCGCACCATATACAAATACTCAGTCTCCTCTAACCCTTACCAGTGCACACAAACCCAAGAGAGATTCTTCCTTTGGATATGAATGAGTTGCCCCTTTCTCTCTACCCAGTAACAGCTACAGAAGCTCTGCTTCAAGAGTCCTATTTCTCTGTCTCTGCTGTCTGATTGTCTGGTGGCCATCTTTACCATGGAGAGGTGTCTTTACCATGGAGAGGTGTCTTTACCATGGAAAGGTGTATTTACCATGGAGTGGTGTCTTTACCATGGAGAGGTGTCTTTACCATGGAGAGGTGTCTTTACCATGGAGAGGTGTCTTTACCATGGAGAGGTGTCTTTACCATGGAGAGATGTCTTTACCATGGAGAGGTGTCTTTACCATGGAGAGGTGTCTTTACCATGGAGAGGTGTCTTTACCATGGAGAGGTGTCTTTACCATGGAGAGGTGTCGTTACCATGGAGAGGTGTCTTTACCATGGAGAGGTGTCTTTACCATGGAGAGGTGTCTTTACCATGGAGAGGTGTCTTTACCATGGAAAGGTGTCTTTACCATGGAGAGGTGTCTTTACCATGGAGAGGTGTCTTTACCATGGAGAGGTGTCTTTACCATGGAGAGGTGTCTTTACCATGGAGAGGTGTATTTACCATGGAGAGGTGTCTTTACCATGGAGAGGTGTCTTTACCATGGAGAGGTGTCTTTACCATGGAGAGGTGTCGTTACCATGGAGAGGTGTCTACCATGGAGAGGAGTTTGTTGGTATACTGTATGTTGAGTGTGTGAGCTCAGAGGACTGTGATGATGATATATCCTGATCTCTACCCACAGCTCAGGCAGTGTTTGCTCGAGGGATTGCAGCAGTGCGGGAAAAATACATCTGTGTGGGTAAGTACAGAATGAGCACGGCAAGCCAGGCCTCTCTCTCAGGACAACCTGCAATCACTTCACACCTGACAGGATGTTGAAAAACCCCCTAGCCAATTTCATATCTTTCTCCTCGTCTCTCGTCCACTCGCTTCGACTTCGATCTTTACGAGATCTTCAGTGATCTCTTCTTAGTTCTGCTCTATCTCCTCGTCTATCCCGAGTATCTTCTCTCTGTAGCCTTTTCTCTCTCTCTTCTCTCTTTTTTTTCTTCGTCTCTCTCTCTCTCTCTCTCTCTCTCTCTCTCTCTCTCTCTCTCTCTCTCTCTATCTGCAGGCATCTCGTCTGGCTCTATGCTGGTGTTTGACGTCCCAAGTAAAGGCAGTAACATCACCCTCTCAGAGGTGCTGGAGGAGCACAAGGAGTCCATCACGGATATGGCCTCAGAATGCTCCGGAAGCCTGGTACTATGCACGCACACACACTATGTCTGTTGTTAATCTAGGAAAAGCATTATCCATTTGGGGTCAAGTGTTATGTTTGATAATATCCGTAACCATGTAGAACCGACAGACAGATGAATGTGTAGTTGTCTGTCAATATGCATCGATCACAGCTTTAGATATTGACCCTGTTGTTGATGCTCTTCCTCCCCCAGGAGTGCATAGCAGACATGGTGAGTGCTGACGACTCTGGCAACCTCTGTGTGTGGAAGTCAGGAGAGGACTTCCAGCTGCTCAACAAGATCCCTGGTTTTGAGTGAGTGAGTTACTGACTGTAGGATCCTTTAACCACAGTTGAACTCCCTTCTTCAGATAGGTCCGTAGAGGCCTTGTAGTTATGGGTTCCTCTTGCCATTGGCCTGATATGTGTGGAAATGCTACCACTGACCTCAATGCCTCTGCCCTCTTCTTGTCCCAGTATGAGCTGCTCCTCAGTGAAGCTGTGGAAGGGCACCGTGGTGGCAGGCTATGGCACAGGGCAGATCCGTCTCTATGAGGCCGTGACGGGGATCGTCCATGCAGAGGTCAACGCCCACGCACGCTGGATCTACTCCTTGGACATCGCCCCCTTCTCTGGCCTGGTGAGGTCAACACCAGATGCAGTCAGGATGGGGCAATGAGAGGGATTGGCAATTTCCATATGACTATCTATCCAGACAAAGCACTGTGTTTATCACCAGTTGTATTGAAGATGATTTAAAGCAAGCTACTAGAGATCCATGTAGAAAGGCGAAACATCTGATTGTAAGGGGGTGAATTCTGATGCTAATGGATTAATGTAAGGGGGTGAATTCTGATGCTAATGGATTTGTTTCCCTGTCTGTCTGTCTGTGTGTGTTTGTGCTCCAAGCTTCTGTCTGCTGCTGAGGACTCTCTGGTGAGAGTGTGGCATCTGACGATGACCCCAGAGACTAACAGTGTGGAGGTAACCTCTCAAACAACACCAGGGAGGGACCCCACTACACCACGCACACACAGACGGACAGACATTGATTCCCTCCCTCTCTCTCCCTCCAGATCGTGCACATGTATAACGAGTGTGTGACAGACACACAGATTTGCGGGGCTAAGTTCTGCGATGGGGACGGCTACGCCTTCGCTGTGACGGGCTATGACCTGAGTGAGATCATCCGCTACACACAGGCCTAAGAGCACTAGCACGCACCATGGGAGATATGCATGTATGTGTGTGTGTGTGTGTGTGTGTGTGTGTGTGTGTGTGTGTGAGGTTGACATGTGAACGGAGTGTGTCAGCTCAGCAGTATCTCTGTGGGGCCAGTGAGTGGGTGACAAAAGGAAAGCCTAGAGCAGGAAACGTCTGCCTGATAGACCATGCAGACTCTAATTCCACCAGATCAATGGTCTACAGAGAGATGGAAAGCCTATGAAGGTTAACTCAGAAACAAACTAGGGCTATGACCCATCTCCATCTACTATGACCTAACTAGAGGACATGATACAGTATGTATGTCCAGAGCATCTCTCACATGGATATGAACTTTGGTCCAGAGGTAAGATCGAAGAATATTGTCTCAATCAAGTAGTTTCCTACATATCACATCTGCACTTTGTAGACAACGACACGCTAAAGAAAAAGTGAGACATCTTACGATATATGAGGAGAAAGATGATTTGTATATTTTGACTGATCACATGCTGGCTTATGCTGACACATTCCCTCGGTGTTGAGTAGTGCTGTGTGTGTGTGTGTGTGTGTGTGTGTGTGTGTGTGGTGTGTGCATGCGAGCAAGTGTGTAATGGACCAGTAACGGACCATGAAACTACAGATTAGTGTGTATAAATCTGTTTTACAGATTTTTTTTTAAAGGGAGTAGGCTATGCTGCAAACACTTAGTGTTGTTGAAAGCAGCACAATGACTCTGGTGTCTCAGTATAGCATTGTTGCAAGTATTTACAATGTGTATGTTAATGTAGGTCGTTCAGCATTCAGTTTGGAAATGTAACATTCCTTTGACTTAGTCTTAAATATTATTATACAGCATCACTGTATAAATGTACTGTAACTATGAATCAACTTTACAAAATAAATGTTTATTGTAGATAACTGTCTTTTCTCTTTAATATGTTTGTGCTTTGTGTTTCTTAATTGTAGTATGCTTGCAGCAAACTGATCTTGCAGCAAATAGTAGCGAATGGCGGGTCAGGGAAGAGAACCTGGGTCGCTGGCACAATGGCAAACACTCTACACATCACGCCAATAGGGTTAACCCACTTGGTGGGAATTCTAACGTGGGTCGCTCCTATAGCGAGGATCGCTATACTGCCCTCTCTGAACTGCAAGGCACGTCCCCGTGCTTCAATCTAACGCTGCCCGTCACACTTCCGGCCGTGCATTCCGATGGCAGCCATCCCACTTCTGACACCAGTGTAGCGAAAGGCGGAGCAGGCAAGTGAACACGACAAACCAATCAAATGCCTTGCTTGGGTGGAACCACTATGTTAGTGTTGTAGGTGCAACAGTACGTGAAGATGGCTGGGAAATCGTCGATTTAAAACCCCATCAAAATATATTATGTATGTCGATGTTGTGTATAGAGCACACTTCTGGCAAAACACAATTCAGTTTATCCTCCACGGTTTCTTCCATGTTGCAAACTAGCATATGGAACAACTCTCTGGAAAATGTGTCATTCCCGGTCTGAAAACAGTGATGAACATAACATGTAGCACCAACGGGCATGTGTGGGGGAGGGTTCTTGAAATGTAACATCCAATCAAAATCCCAGAAAAAGGTTATATCTATAACTACATTTTGACAAAAATGCAGATAGAACCTTATAGTGCCAAGCTCTCGAAATTGTAAAGTTGTAACAGTGATATAAAATGTTTAGTTATGGTACATCACACTACACTAGGCTACTTCATGAAATGTAGAATAAAAAAACTGCTCTGTTTCCTCATACATGAGATGTTCATGTAATGAGTGGAATGTAGCAGAGTGTGTTCCAGGTGCAGCAGAATACAATCGGACCTGAGATCTAACTATGGCTGTGTGTGTGTGTGGACTGACCTGAACTTGTCCAATAAGAAACATCCGTTTCCATTGCAAAACGTTTTCTGTGTACTACTGTTTGCTACGGTGTACACTAATGAATGCACCCCTGTTGTCAATGATGGCCTCATCTGTAGATGCACTGGAGCATCTGAACTCAAAGCCTCTAAAGAAGTTTAAGTGGTTCCTGAAGCTGCCGGATGGCTTCCCTCCTATCCCAAAGAGCCAGCTGGGGAATGTTGACAGACAGGACAAAGTGGATCAGATAGTGGAGACCTACAGGGAAGATGGTGCTGTGAAGGTCACACTGAAGATCCTGCGGCAGATTGACCAAAACAACCTAGCTCATAAGTTAATGAAAGAGTGCAAAATAGGTCATTCTAGTTCAGATATCAAATAATATTTATATATATTATATATATTTTGAAATTGGTTTTAAGAGGCACATGCATCTACTATTTTAAGTGTCCAGAATGTTGATCGTAAAAATATATTCCTCTGTTTATTGTTAATTAGTCAAATCTTGACAACTTAATGTGACTGGAGAAGTCTTTAAACAGTTCAATTTATGATGGTTCAATTTATGACAGTTCAAGCTCCTGAGTGGCGCAGTGGTCTAAGGCATTGCATCGCAGTGCTAACTGTGCCACTAGAGATCCTGGTTCGAATCCAGGCTCTGTCGCAGCCGGCCGCGACCGGGAGACTCATGGGCGGCGCACAATTGGCCCAGCGTTGTCCAGGGTAGGGGAGGGAATGGCCGGCAGGGATGTAGCTCAGTTGATAGAGCATGGCGTTTGCAACGCCAGGGTTGTGGGTTCGATTCCCACGGGGGGCCAGTATAAAAAATAATAATAATATATATATATATATGTATTCACTAACTGTAAGTCGCTCTGGATAAGAGCGTCTGCTAAATGACTAAAATGTAAATGTAATGGTAGAAATATCCTGATCTTAGAGTTCCCTTTCCTCTTTCTCCTGGGAGAGGATGTTGAGGAAAGAGCTCCTTCTTGTGTTCCAGCTCAGAAGGGTCCTCCTGTCCATCGGTCCAACAGCACTGAGACTAGAGACCATGTTATTGCCCCTACACTCCCTGCTGGAGACTCTACAGAAGATGGTGAATAGGTAGCAGAACATTTCATACACAGAGAGAACTCGGGCACAAATACACGTTGAATAATTGCAATGCTTTAGATAAATATGCATCCTTAAGAAAAGGCAGTGTTTTTTAAATGAAGATTGTTTTCATGTATTGTTTGGAGAGTAGTGCAGTCAGACATGGGTGAGGCAGAGCACATAATCAAAAAAATTAAGAGAGACCACATTTACATTGTGTTGCAGCAACTCGACAGCAATCCAAATTGTAGTAATACAATCACTCTGTTCCTCAACTGTTTAACTGATTTAGTCAGTCTTGATCCAATAGACTGTCTGTGAAGAAGAGGGTCCAATCAGTGTCTTCTCAGAAACTATGGGCGGGCTTAGCCCGAATACCCACGTGGCCAAATGCCGCGTTCACATGCTAGTCGGAACTTGGAAATGTCTGACTTTATAACTAATTGAACGCAGCACGTGTATAACTCCAACCAGTTAGCAAGTCAGAAATTTTTTAGTTTCCTCATTCCGACTAGCACGTGAACTGGTTGATGGTGAACCAATCACTGCAAATATGTTTTGAATAACACCCCTCATTACAGACGCAGTCACAAATACAGTGGGGAAAAAAAGTATTTAGTCAGCCACCAATTGTGCAAGTTCTCCCACTTAAAAATATGACAGACAAAATTAGGAAAACAAATCCAGAAAATCACATTGTAGGATTTTTTATGAATTTATTTGCAAATTATGGTGGAAAATAAGTATTTGGTCAATAACAAAAGTTTCTCAATACTTTGTTATATACCCTTTGTTGGCAATGACACAGGTCAAACGTTTTCTGTAAGTCTTCACAAGGTTTTCACACACTGTTGCTGGTATTTTGGCCCATTCCTCCATGCAGATCTCTAGAGCAGTGATGTTTTGGGGCTGTCGCTGGGCAACACAGACTTTCAACTCCCTCCAAAGATTTTCTATGGGGTTGAGATCTGGAGACTGGCTAGGCCACTCCAGGACCTTGAAATGCTTCTTACGAAGCCACTCCTTCGTTGCCCGGGCGGTGTGTTTGGGATCATTGTCATGCTGAAAGACCCAGCCACGTTTCATCTTCAATGCCCTTGCTGATGGAAGGAGGTTTTCACTCAAAATCTCACGATACATGGCCCCATTCATTCTTTCCTTTACACGGATCAGTCGTCCTGGTCCCTTTGCAGAAAAACAGCCCCAAAGCATGATGTTTCCACCCCCATGCTTCACAGTAGGTATGTTGTTATTTGGATGCAACTCAGCATTCTTTGTCCTCCAAACACGACGAGTTGAGTTTTTACCAAAAAGTTCTATTTAGGTTTCATCTGACCATATGACATTCTCCCAATCCTCTTCTGGATCATCCAAATGCACTCTAGCAAACTTCAGACGGGCCTGGACATGTACTGGCTTAAGCAGGGGGACATGTCTGGCACTGCAGGATTTGAGTCCCTGGCGGCGTAGTGTGTTACTGATGGTAGGCTTTGTTACTTTGGTCCCAGCTCTCTGCAGATCATTCACTAGGTCCCCCCGTGTGGTTCTGGGATTTTTGCTCACCGTTCTTGTGATCATTTTGACCCCACGGGGTGAGATCTTGCGTGGAGCCCCAGATCGAGGGAGATTATCAGTGGTCTTGTATGTCTTCCATTTCCTAATAATTGCTCCCACAGTTGATTTCTTCAAACCAAGCTGCTTACCTATTGCAGATTCAGTCTTCCCAGCCTGGTGCAGGTCTACAATTTTGTTTCTGGTGTCATTTGACAGCTCTTTGGTCTTGGCCATAGTGGAGTTTGGAGTGTGACTGTTTGAGGTTGTGGACAGGTGTCTTTTATACCAATAACAAGTTCAAATAGGTGCCATTAATACAGGTAACGAGTGGAGGCAGAGGAGCCTCTTAAAGAAGAAGTTACAGGTTTGTGAGAGCCAGAAATCTTGCTTGTTTGTAGGTGACCAAATACTTATTTTCCACCATCATTTGCAAATAAATTCATTAAAAATCCTACAATGTGATTTTCTGGATTTTTTTCTTCTCAATTTGTCTGTCATAGTTGACGTGTACCTATGATG